CGATCCACGCAATTGGGATACAATGACATGCATCAACCAAGTCAACAAGCCTGACCATCCTATCCGGATAGTTGTCTCCTACGACAAGCACAATCGGCTTTTACGGCAAGCATGGGTTGCTGAAGATCTATTCCACCCCGGATCTTCACATTTGACCTGAACACAACCACAATGCTATCCTGTATGTTGTTTTCCGCCATTTGACCTGAACACAACCACAATGCTATTCTGTATGTTGTTCTCGGACGTTTGACCTGAACAAAACCACAATGCTATCCTGTATGTCTTTCTTGGACGTTTGACCTGAACACAACCACAATGCTATCGTGTATGTCTTTCTCAGATGCTTGACCTGAACACAACCACAATGCTATCCTGTATGCTGTTCTCGGAGGTTGGACCTGAACACAACCACAATGCTATCCTGTATGCCATTCTCGGATGTTTGACCTGGACACAACCACAATGCCATCCTGTATGTCGTTCTCGGACGCTTCACCTGAACACAACCACAATATGCTGAATGCTGCTCTCGGATGTTTGACCTGTTTTATCCTGTCCAGCTATCTTATTTGCGTATTTATCTCATTGGGGTATGCTGAGGTAAAGCAATAATCACTCACTCTCATTGGAGTATGACATGTTTTTTATGTCATATGCTTATATCATGGATAAGTGCTTGAATTAAATGACACAATATAATTATTGGCAAGGTCCCATTGTTACCATACATCCTACTTAAAGGGGAAGTGTACACGCAAAAATCACTTTCTTTCTTTTTCTAAACGAAACGCAATTTTAGAATTAATTAGTATCTGTGTTTGAAAATATACACTAATTTTTTTTCACAGTGAAAGTAGGAAGCTCACAATAGTGTTAAAATGATATGCCGTTATGAGGCCTTCGTTTTACGAGCGAAATAGGCCTGAGTTATCCCCCTTAGATTATGACGTAATTGGTGCCAATTCAACTGGGTCCCTGTCTATTCTCAACGCAAAAGATATCAAGGACCAGTTTGCGGTAAAACAACATGGTCTACGACACACTCCGGCGCAGTAGTGACTCAGCATAACACAATTCTGGCTGGCATCTGAGACGCTAGAATCACAAAACTGTACCTACACCACGTGAAGCGGCTCTAACAAAGCATGATGACGTCATAATGTTTATCAATTGGCACCAATGACGTCATATTGCAAGGGGCATAAGCCATGGTGTTTTTGTTATGGAAATAGAACACTTGGTAAATGTGAAAAATATAAATCGTTTTAATGCAAAAAATATGTTAATTAAATATGATGTTTTTATATTTTTGTCTATGACACTTCTATGTTAACACTTTTAATGTGGAAAAAGTACAAGAAAAATTGGTTCATTTCCGTGTGAACTTGCCCTTTAATAGTCAGCTTTTACAACATGCAAGAGGGTGTGGGATGTGGAGATATTTATTGGTATTCTAGGGCATTAAGGACATTAAATTTCAAAGGGACAAAATTCAAAACGGTGTTGAGATAATACCTACAATAATAAATATAAAGACACTAAATTTGTACTATATATCTGAAAGAAAGGGATGAAAGTCAACACAGAATGAAACAGGAAAGAAATGTATGAAAATAATTTATTTCAAAACAACCACAATGCACTCCATCAAATCTTTTGTTCTTACTCATTAAAAGTGACGCAGGGATGTGATTCTTCCACTGACATACAGTCAGTGCAGCATCAGGTCAGAGTGATACATTCCACTATGTGAAACACAGGGAGGGTCATAGAGTTTGTGCGTAAATGTTGGAATGTGAACAATCAGCATCTTGCCCTGAGTGCCTTTTGATATTAAATATATCAACACTCATCAATAAAAGATTCACTTTATATCAGTTATTGCAGAGCTACGGGTGTATTTAATATCTCATGAAACACATTGCCAAGTTACAGGAAGTCATATAGCAGTAATTGCAGATACAGTCGGTCCTATACAAGTTACAGCATTCCTAGAGTCAGAAATGCTTCATCTTTTGAACAAGTACATTCAGTTATATTTCAGTTATTGCATGGTTACAGTCAGAAAAGTCTAAGCTATAGCATTTTTATATTCAGCAATGTCTCCGATGTTATTTGAGTGCAGTCACTATACATCAGTTATCCCATTCTTACATTCAGCAATGTCTCCGATGTTATTTGAGTGCAGTCACTATACATCAGTTATCCCATTCTTACATTCAGCAATGACTCCAATGTTATTTGAGTGCTGTCACTATACATCAGTTATCCCATTCTTACATTCAGCAATGTCTCCGATGTTATTTGAGTGCTGTCACTATACATCAGTTATCCCATTCTTACATTCAGCAATGTCTCCAATGTTATTTGAGTGCAGTCACTATACATTAGTTATCCCATTCTTACATTCAGCAATGTCTCCGATGTTATTTGAGTGCTGTCACTATACATCAGTTATCCCATTCTTACATTCAGCAATGTTTCCGATGTTATTTGAGTGCAGTCACTATACATCAGTTATCCCATTCTTACATTCAGCAATGTCTCCAATGTTATTTGAGTGCTGTGACTATACATCAGTTATCCCATTCTTACATTCAGCAATGTCTCCAATGTTATTTGAGTGCTGTCACTATACATCGGTTATCCCATTCTTACATTCAGCAATGTCTCCGATGTTATTTGAGTGCTGTCACTATACATCGGTTATCCCATTCTTACATTCAGCAATGTCTCCAATGTTATTTGAGTGCTGTCACTATACATCAGTTATCCCATTCTTACATTCAGCAATGTCTCTGATGTTATTTGAGTGCTGTCACTATACATCAGTTATCCCATTCTTACATTCAGCAATGTTTCTGATGTTATTTGAGTGCTGTCACTATACATCAGTTATCCCATTCTTACATTCAGCAATGTCTCCAATGTTATTTGAGTGCTGTCACTATACATCAGTTATCCCATTCTTACATTCAGCAATGTCTCCGATGTTATTTGAGTGCTGTCACTATACATCAGTTATCCCATTCTTACATTCAGCAATGTCTCCGATGTTATTTGAGTGCAGTCACTATACATCAGTTATCCCATTCTTACATTCAGCAATGTCTCCTATGTTATTTGAGTGAAGTCACTATACATCAGTTATCCCATTCTTACATTCAGCAATGTCTCCGATGTTATTTGAGTGCAGTCACTATACATCGGTTATCCCATTCTTAAAAGAACTCTAGCTCAAAGCTGACATTGATAGTAAGGTGATTTGAACTAAAATGGCCTTCGTACTCCTATTATGCATTTCTAATGACTAACATCATCATGAAGAGCCCAAAATATCAATGATGAGTTTCTAAATGTAAAATTTTCTCAATTTGCTGTGTGGTCAAAGGGAGATAATCAAACTCAACTAACAATGACATACATGTAGCCTCCCTTTAAACACGCATTAAAAAGAAATATAATAAAATAGTCAAATTTGTTTCAACACCATGAACCACAAGATGCCAATTAATAAAAAAACAATCTTAAATCCCTGTTTCAATCATCATACTTCATGATTCTGTTCAAAAGTTCACAGAAGGTTAAAACGTTACGTAATTCATTACATTTTGAGACACTGGACTTGAACATTCCCAGAAAAATGTATTTAAAATATAATTTGTTTAAAAGCTGTTCAAAAGTTCACAGAAGGTTAAAACCTTACCTAATTCATTACATTTTGAGACACTGGACTTGAACATTCCCAGAAAAATGTATTTAAAATATAATTTGTTTAAAAGCTGTTCAAAAGTTCACAGAAGGTTAAAACCTTACCTAATTCATTACATTTTGAGACACTTGACTTGAACATTTCCAGAGAAATATATTTTGCCAATTGGACAACTTGTTCCCAGTCCATCACCACAAATTATTGAGTTTATATTTCTATCTGGTATCAATTGGCCATTTCAGTCCATGTGTGTTGAAAAGCAGTAGAACCTCACATCCAAGATCAGAAAAGATTGACAAGTTTACTACAAAACAGAAAAATGAACCAAGTCATAGCCCTTGCTTATAACATCCTTGATAATACAGGGTAGCCCAGTGGTTAAAGTGTTCGCTCGTTACACTGAAGGCCCGGGTTTGAGTCGATTTCTGGTGTCCCTCGCTGTGATATTGCTGGAATATTTCTCAAGGCGACGTAAAACCATCCTCACTCCTTGATTAAACAGTGTAATATATCTCAGTTCTATTATGATAAATACCAGTACCCTTGAGGCCAATTCGAATGTTAAAAATACCCATCCAATAACTGTGAGTGAGTGAGTTGAATTAAACCCTGCTTCTAACAGTATTCCATTTATATCACTGTGTGTCAGCTTGAAGTGGGAGGAAATCCCGAAGTGATGCAGGTCTCACACCTTTACCACTTTGATGAAACGCATGAGCACAGGTATGGTGCTGACAAACCCTTAAACAGGGCAAACCAGGATTCAAACACACAATCACAGGTTTCCAGTGTGCCCAAGGGACGCAACTCTACACAGCAAAGTGCGGCGCCTTAGACAACGGGGCCACCAAGGTCACTCCATCCAATAATAATGGAGGTGCATGAATTTAAACAGCTATTCACAATACATGGAACGACGAAGGCTAAATGCCCTGCTGGCTTGTTCAATCCATCTTCCGGAGGCAAGGGAGTTAACTGACTATAAAAGTCCACCCTTGCCGAACTAGGCTGGACTAACGAGTCTATGCATAGTCCAATCAAAATTGTGCAACGACATCAAAATCCGGTTTGTAAACTCTCATGTAGATTGCAGGATTAGAAAAGCATTTGCACCACCAACTTGTCAATAGATATTTTAAAAATCTTTTCATGTTTTTAAACAAGGTGCTCATGTAATTTGATGCACTTGGCGAGGTAAAACTCGTTTTATCACAATATAGATATTGATTATCGATCAGATCGTCTTGACTGAGTGCTACCATTTTGTTTGAAGCAAACGCATGTGATACGAGAGGTGGAATCTGATTGGTCCATAGGAGAGGCATAGATGGGACATAACTCGTAATAGCCACTGGTGGTGCTACGATCCAGCCCAGTAATTCCAGCCTAGTTCGGCAAGGGTGGAAAGTGTGAACTCTTTTGCCTTGGGAAGAATCTAGCAGAGTGAGATTTACCTTGTCGTGAATTTCATAGCAGATTTCATCATACAGATAATGATTAATCACTTACTACACTTCCAAGAAAAGATTCACAAGCTTACAATAAAACGGAAAATAAAAGTCATAGTCTTGTAGACTATAGCATTACAGTAAGGGCTGTATGGAAGGGAAAATAACATGGTTCAAGGTCTGTGAGACAGTCTATCTTTGATTATGCAGTATATTAATGGTATATCTCAAGTCTATGCTGATAAATACCAATGACCAAATTACTACCATATCTGAGTTTTGAGCCTGATTCCAATTGCAAGATGCTAAAAATAACATACCTTATAATATAAATACTACTAATAATGATAATAATAATAATTGAAATTTGTAATTTATTCAGAAGAGCTCATAGATCCTCATGAATAGAGAATCCCCCCTGAGTGTCTTTTGATATCAAATATATCAACATGAGTTGATAAAAGTGAAAAAAGAGGCTTGCCGACGAGTTTTTCCACTTTTATAGAGTGTTGATATATTAGTTATCAAAAGACACGAGGGTGAGATCTTATTTATCATCCAACATCATTCTTCCAACTTTTTCAGTTTGTTAACAGTAATAAGTGTAATACAGTGTCTTAGTGTAAAAAGTACTGCTAACAGCTTCAGTAGCAGGGCCATTAGTGATGTCATTTGATTGTGATGTCATGGTAACCAATGATGTCACAATGGTCTGCAAAGCATTGTGATGCAATTTCATTGCAGCAATATCTACAATGTAGATCTCGCTTGATCTCATCCAAGGTGATTTTTCCTGTGGGGGGCAGTTTTGGAAGTTAAAAATATATGTAAAATGTATATACGTAAAGCACAGTCAAAGAAGAAGATTTATAAGCAGTGGAGTGTGGAGAGATGGGTACTCATTGTACAAGCAAGGACATAATACTAGGGTCAGGCCCAACAATTGAATTGCAATTTATTGCGATACTGGCATCTGTTTTAATATACCCTATTTGACGTAATACGCGCCCAGGGCACTCTCAAAATTAGAAATAGGGGGCTCTTATTAGAATATTATTTTGGTGAAAAAAACAGAGTTGAAAGATAAATTTTGTGGTTATGCTGACAGCCTGAAATGTTGATGTACGACAGATATGTTTCCAGAATTTAATTGCCAATAATAAAGGGTGCGTATAACACACGAGTGCGTATTATATGCCAATAGGGGAAGGAAGGGGTGGTAATTGGGATTGTTCACTCGCCAATATATCAGCAAATCTCGCCGTGGGTGCTTATTAGAGAGGGGCGCTTATTACGTCAAATACGGTACTTATTGTGACATAGTAGGAGCTAAAGTGTTGACAGTGATTGACACTGATTGTACATGAATTACTATTCCAGTTTACTCTGTCTGCTATGCCATCATGTTATAGAGGTCAACCATGCCGAGGTTGTTACAAGCATGGGGATCGTGTCAGGGAACATTAAGTGATGACCCCCTAAGCGATATTTGAAATAAGAATTCGACTGGGACAGACGTTTTCTTTCTCTTGTACATGTATATACACCTACAGCAAGTCCAGTGGATACTGTTTGTGTGTCTATTATTGATACAATCCTTTATCTTTCAGGGATGAAGTTAAGACCACAGCGTCTTTTTTAAACAAAGTGATGAAGCCAAATTCCCAACATCTTAGTATAGTCAATAGTATGCTTAACAACAGTTTCAATAGTCGCAATTAATTGTCAAATTCCCAACATCTTAGTATAGTCAATAGTATGCTTAACAACAGTTTCAATAGTCGCAATTAATTGTCAAATTCCCAACATCTTAGTATAGTCAATAGTATGCTTAACAACAGTTTCAATAGTCGCAATTAATTGTCAAATTCCCAACATCTTAGTATAGTCAATAGTATGCTTAACAACAGTTTCAATAGTCGCAATTAATTGTCAAATTCCCAACATCTTAGTATAGTCAATAGTATGCTTAACAACAGTTTCAATAGTCGCAATAACTGCCAAATTCCCAACGTCTTAGTGCAGTCAATAGTATGCTTAACAACAGTTTCAATAGTCGCAATAACTGCCAAATTCCCAACGTCTTAGTGCAGTCAATAGTATGCTTAACAACAGTTTCAATAGTCGCAATAACTGCCAAATTCCCAACGTCTAAGTGTAGTCAATAGTATGCTTAACAACAGTTTCAATAGTTGCAATAACTGCCAAATTTCCAACGTCTTAGTGCAGTCAATAGTATGCTTAACAACAGTTTCAATAGTCGCAATAACTGCCAAATTCCCAACGTCTTAGTGTAGTCAATAGTATGCTTAACAACAGTTTCAATAGTCGCAATAACTGCCAAATTCCCAACGTCTTAGTGTAGTCAATAGTATGCTTAACAACAGTTTCAATAGTCGCAATAACTGCCAAATTCCCAACGTCTTAGTGTAGTCAATAGTATGCTTAACAACAGTTTCAATAGTCGCAATTAATTGTCAAATTCCCAACATCTTAGTATAGTCAATAGTATGCTTAACAACAGTTACAATAGTCGCAATTAATTGTCAAATTCCCAACATCTTAGTATAGTCAATAGTATGCTTAACAACAGTTACAATAGTCGCAATTAATTGTCAAATTCCCAACATCTTAGTATAATCAATAGTATGCTTAACAACAGTTTCAATAGTCGCAATTAACTGTCAAATTCCCAACATCTTTGTATAGTCAATAGTATGCTTAACAACAGTTTCAATAGTCGCAATAAATTGCCAAATTCCCAACATCTTAGTATAGTCAATAGTATGCTTAACAACAGTTTCAATAGCCACAATTAATTAAAAATAAATCATGGATTATGCGAGACTTTTTACAGTCGCATTTCAAACCTGTGTGTTGATTCGCAAGGATAAAGACAACAGATTAGAGTTACTTCCCTTCAGTTTGAATAGCGACAGGGAGAAAAATGTCCAACTTTGACAATTGTCATAAATACTATATTTCTATACATTGATTAATATAATTATCAAGCCTTAAAGTTGGATGAATACTATCACAATACTGAATATACCCCAACAGGCAGTCCTAAATGATATATATATATATATATATATATACATATATGTCATGGAATGGGGACAGCACCACGGATTTGAGTTCTACTCTGGACGTACTATACCATCATGGTGTAAAAATAGTGTAAAACCAACGCGCTGCACTTGGAACATTCCTCCTGCAGATGACAAGCCTGTAGGCCTGGATTATGACTGTTTCTTCCTGTTCTTGTAAATTTCTTCCGTGAAGGGTCTGAAAAAATGGCAAAAGGAAACATCACCCATAGGATCTTAAAACACTTTTCCTGATTAGTTTCAATCTCATTAAAATCAGACCTTAGTTCTCGCTACCGCTAAACAAAGATCTGAAGACATCCCATAAGGGGTCACGTCAGAAGGACCTTTCATCCGACTAACCACAGTGTAGCTTACCAGATTATGAAAATGACAGTCGGAATGTGATTTCTAATCATGCAACCTCGAAGACTTTACACACGACATATTCCGAACGATAGTTACGGATTAAACGACTGAATCCATACAAAGTAGACCATCTATTAGCCATTCCAGAATGTTCTTTTGTTCAGGTTTCCAATTTATAACTGATAATTTGTCAAAATATGTTTCGAAGCGTAGTCGCCAATTTGAAATTAGTGCCGTAAAGCAAGAGAAAGCTCCCTTCTGATTGGTCATTCCATTGGTCTGTCAAAGTTCGTGCAAGGTCGGTCTGACGTGACCCATACTGGGATGTCCTCAGATCTTTGTTTCACGGTAGCGAGAACTAAGATCTGATTTTAATGAGATTGGATTAGTTTTGAACAGAAGGAAACAGTTGTTCATGGTTTGTCTTGGGAGTGCTTGCCCGAACACACCCGTTGCTATACAACTTGCACATGTTTTTGTAAATCTCGTGCTTTTCATGCTCTGTATCTGACAGACAACGTTGAACAGCTTCTCATTATACATGTAGTTGACATCTTTAACAAGTGAGTGAGTAACAATATTCCAGCAATCTCACGAGGGGGGACACCAAAAATGGGCTTCACACATTGTACCCATGTTGGGAATCGAACCCAGGTCTTCGGCTTGACAAGCGAACGCTTTAACCACTAAGCTACCCGGCAGCCCCTGTGGGACAAAGACATCCATAGGACTTCAGTCAGGATATTGCTTTTGATAATATTATAAAGAACTTCCATTATTGGGGAGTTAATACCATTTTATGATAGAAAGTCTATTATTCACACTGTCAGTGGATATATAGAAAAAGTGTCATTGTGGGGATTTATTCATTGGTGTAAAAGAAGGTTTTGTGTTTCTATTTTTTTGTCTTATCAAATTTATCTTTTTGACATTATTTTTTTTACTTGTTTTTTTTTTAATGGGGAATAAGAACTGCCTCATTCCCAAGTATTACACACTATATTTGCGCATATTCCCTTTTAAGCCTTACTTCGAACTAAGAGGTGAGGTGAAATGGGGTTTAACGTTGCATCCAGATTATTGCACTTATATAGCGTGTGTGTGTGTGTGTGTGTGTCTGCTTGTACTAGTCCGGACTAATGCTGATTTATAGTGCCAGCACACTGAGATTCCATGCCACAGTTTAGCATGAATACCCCACTCAGACATAGTATACTGACTCCAAGCCAACCAGTCCTTGTTTTAGCCCTCATAATGCTGAGTGGCAGACAGGGTAACAACAAGTACCATCTTTCAATGTCTTTTGGTATGACGCGGCCAGGGATTGAATCCCAGACCTTCTGCTCTCCGGGTGGACGCTCTACCACTAGACCACGGAGGCGGTTCGAACATAAGAGAGAATATTGCCAAGGCACTGTAACCAAGATACACATATAGAGTAATACTGTATTCGACATAAAATGCGCCCCACTCTAAAAAGCACCCACGGCGATATTTGCTAATATATTGGCTAGTGAACAATCCCAATTAGCATCCCTTTCAATCGAATATGTTGAATACGGTATATTCCTGAAACAATTAGTCCCATCACTTAATAGGGGTGGTGGGGTAGCCTAGTGGTTAAAGTGTTTGCTCGACACGACGAAGACCCGTGTTCGATTCTCCACATGGGTACAATGTGTGAAGCTCATTTCTGGTGTCCCTCAATGTAATATTGCTGACAACCATACTCACTTAGATACCACTATACACCAAGAGCACTGTATTTCCCCCACAATTAGTGCCAATAATAACTAACACAGTGGTTTATCGAGGATTCAAAACCCTTGACCCTTGCCAGGCATATTCGGAAATAGTATGGGTGAGTGAGTGAGTTTGGTTTTACGCTGCTTTTAGCAATATTCCAGCAATATCACGGCGGGGAACACCAGAAATGGGCTTCACACATTGTACCCATGTCGGGAATCGAACCCGGGTCTTCGGCATGACGAGCGAACGCTTTAACCACTAGGCTACCCGACCGCGTGTTTACACAACACAGCATGTCCAGCAAAGTATTTTTGTTTGTTCTCAAACCTGAAGCAAAATAACAAATCACAAAATCAGGTGGGGCCTTTAAATTCTAGGCCTTTTCAAGCCAGTATGAACCTTGCCAAAGCTTTCATGACCCCGGCTCCTTCATTCAGATGTTTGTTTTTTTGTTTGTTTAACACCGCACTCAACAATATTCCAGCTATAAGATGGCGGTCTGTAAATAATTGAGTCTGACCACACAATTCAGGGATTGACATCATGAGCATGGATCAACGCAATTGGGATACGATGACATACATCAACCAAGTCGGCGAGCCTGACCACCCGATCCCGTTAGTCGCCTTTTACAAGCATAGTCGCCTTTTACAGCAAGCATGGGTTGCCGAAGACCTATTCTAACTTGGATCTTCACGGATTTCAACCAGATGACATACTTACTCCTCGAATGAAATTGCTACATAGTAGGCCAGTCCTACCCCTGCAGTCAGAAACAATCCTGCACTGCTAGCTCGACTGAAACACAAGCATAACAACAGTCACTCTTCACAAATAATAACAACAGAGCATGGGTTAAAAATCCTCTTGTCATCTTTTTATGCAATGCCCAGGTAGTTGATTGTGTTCTGACACCCAACACCCACACTTACATGACTGCCATGCCCAGGCAGTTGATTCTGTTCTGACACCCACACTTACATGACTGCCATGCCCAGGTAGTTGACTGTGTTCTGACACCCACACTTACATGAGAGCCTTGCCCAGGTAGTTGATTGTGTTCTGACACCCGACACCCACACTTACATGAGAGCCATGCCCAGGTAGTTGACTGTGTTCTGACACCCGACACCCACACTTACATGAGAGCCATGCCCAGGTAGTTGATTGTGTTCTGACACCCGACACCCACACTTACATGAGAGCCATGCCAAGGTAGTTGACTGTGTTCTGACACCCGACACCCACACTTACATGAGGGCCATGCCCAGGTAGTTGATTGTGTTCTGACAACCGACACCCACACTTACATGAGGGCCATGCCCAGGTGGTTGATTGTGTTCTGACACCCGACACCCACACTTACATGAGAGCCATGCTCAGGTAGTTGATTGTGTTCTGAAACCCGACACCCACACTTACATGAGAGCCATGCCCAGGTAGTTGATTGTGTTCTGACACCCGACACCCACACTTACATGAGAGCCTTGCCCAGGTAGTTGATTGTGTTCTGACACCCGACACCCATACTTACATGACTGCCATGCCCAGGTAGTTGACTGTGTTCTGACACCCGACACCCACACTTACATGAGAGCCATGCCCAGGTAGTTGACTGTGTTCTGACACCCGACACCCACACTTACATGAGAGCCATGCCCAGGTAGTTGACTGTGTTCTGACACCCGACACCCACACTTACATGAGAGCCATGACCAGGTAGTTGACTGTGTTCTGACACGCGACACCCACACTTACATGACTGCCATGCCCAGGTAGTTGACTGTGTTCTGACGCCCGACACCCACACTTACATGACTGCCATGCCCAGGTAGTTGACTGTGTTCTGACACGCGACACCCACACTTACATGACTGCCATGCCCAGGTAGTTGACTGTGTTCTGACGCCCGACACCCACAATTACATGACTGCCATGCCCAGGTAGTTGACTGTGTTCTGACACCCGACACCCACACTTACATGACTGCCATACCCAGGTAGTTGACTGTGTTCTGACGCCCGACACCCACACTTACATGAGGGCCATGCCCAGGTAGTTGACTGTGTTCTGACGCCCGACACCCACACTTACATGACTGCCATGCCCAGGTAGTTGACTGTGTTCTGACACGCGACACCCACACTTACATGACTGCCATGCCCAGGTAGTTGACTGTGTTCTGACGCCCGACACCCACAATTACATGACTGCCATGCCCAGGTAGTTGACTGTGTTCTGACACCCGACACCCACACTTACATGACTGCCATACCCAGGTAGTTGACTGTGTTCTGACGCCCGACACCCACACTTACATGACTGCCATGCCCAGGTAGTTGACTGTGTTCTGACGCCAGACACCCACACTTACATGACTGCCATGCTCAGGTAGTTGATTGTGTTCTGACACCCACACTTACATGACTGCCATGCCCAGGTAGTTGATTGTGTTCTGACACCCACACTTACATGACTGCCATACCCAGGTAGTTGACTGTGTTCTGACACCCGATACCCACACTTACATGAGAGCCATGCCCAGGTAGTTGATTGTGTTCTGACACCCGACACCCACACTTACAATTGAGCCATGCCAAGGTAGTTGACTGTGTTCTGACACCCGACACCCACACTTACATGAGAGCCATGCCCAGGTAGTTGACTGTGTTTTGACACCAGACACCCTAAATTACATGAGAGCCATGCCCAGGTAGTTGACTGTGTTCTGACACCCGACACCCGCACTTACATGAAGGCCATGCCCAGGTAGTTGATTGTGTTCTGACACCAGACACTCACACTTACATGAAGGCCATGCCCAGGTAGTTGACTGTGTTCTGACACCTGACACCCACACTTACATGACTGCCATACCCAGGTAGTTGACTGTGTTCTGACACCCGACACCCACACTTACATGAGAGCCATGTCCAGGTAGTTGATTGTGTTCTGAAACCCGATACCCACACTTACATGACTGCCATACCCAGGTAGTTGACTGTGTTCTGACACCCACACTTACATGAGGGCCATGCCCAGGTAGTTGACTGTGTTCTGACACCCGACACCCACACTTACATGAGGGCCATACCCAGGTAGTTGACTGTGTTCTGACACCCACACTTACATGAGGGCCATGCCCAGGTAGTTGACTGTGTTCTGACGCCCGACACCCACACTTACATGACTGCCATGCCCAGGTAGTTGACTGTGTTCTGACGCCAGACACCCACACTTACATGACTGCCATGCTCAGGTAGTTGATTGTGTTCTGACACCCAAACTTACATGACTGCCATGCCCAGGTAGTTGATTGTGTTCTGACACCCACACTTACATGACTGCCATGCCCAGGTAGTTGACTGTGTTCTGACGCCAGACACCCACACTTACATGACTGCCATGCCCAGGTAGTTGACTGTGTTCTGACGCCCGACACCCACACTTACATGAGGGCCATGCCCAGGTAGTTGACTGTGTTCTGACACCCACACTTACATGATTGCCATGCCCAGGTAGTTGATTGTGTTCTGACACCCACACTTACATGACTGCCATGCCCAGGTAGTTGATTGTGTTCTGACACCCACACTTACATGACTGCCATGCCCAGGTAGTTGACTGTGTTCTGACACGCGACACCCACACTTACATGAGGGCCATGCCCAGGTAGTTGACTGTGTTCTGACACCCGATACCCACACTTACATGAGGGCCATGCCCAGGTAGTTGACTGTGTTCTGACGCCCGATACCCACACTTACATGAGGGCCATGCCCAGGTAGTTGACTGTGTTCTGACACCCGACACCCACACTTACATGAGAGCCATGCCCAGGTAGTTGATTGTGTTCTGACACCCGACACCCACACTTACATGAGAGCCATGCCCAGGTAGTTGACTGTGTTCTGACACCCGACACCCACACTTACATGAGAGCCATGCCCAGGTAGTTGATTGTGTTCTGACACCCACACTTACATGAGGGCCATGCCCAGGTAGTTGACTGTGCTTCCGACATACATGGGATTGCTGACCAGGTTGAAAGGGAAGCCTGTTACTTTTTCATCCATGAGGATCCCAAAATAATCACCTGAAACAACACGCCATCAAACATAGGAAAAAAAAAATAGGACTGGCTCGCTTTACAATATTATGACGTCCTTTGGTCTCTGTTAAGATTACGTTACACCTTGTCTTAAATCATTAGTCAGAGGTGAGGCGAGGTGAAATTGGGTTTAACGTTGCGTCCAAGATTATTGCACTTATATAGCGATGTGCATGCACGTGTGTGTGTGGCTGCTTGTACTAGACCGGACTAATGCCGATTTATAGTGCTAGCCCACTGAGATACCATGCCGCAGTTTAACATGAATACCCCACTCAGACACAGTATACTGACTCCAAGCCGACCAGTCCTTGTTTTAATCCCTTCTTGCCGAGCGCCAGACAGGGTAACAACAAGTACTATCTTTTAACGTCTTTTGGTATGATGCGACCGGGGATCGAACCCTGGACCTTCCACTCTCCGGGCAGACGCTCTACCACTAGACCACGGAGGCGGTCCATTAGTCAGCAATGACAACAATGATGACTGAGTATAAAACGTGTCTTTACAAATCCTCAGTCACAGCCAGCCCCTCAGCCAAACAGGCATTACCATGACAACATTAAAACAAATGAACATCACAACACAATCAAGAAGAACGTATATACCTACTGTAACTTTTATTTGTCTTGTTTGTTATTTAACGACACACTCAGCAATTTTCCAGCTATATTATTGCGGTCTATAAATAATCAAGTCTGGACCAAATAATCCAGTGATTGCAACATGAGCATCCATCCACGTAATTGGGATACAATGACATGCATCAACCAAGTCAGCGAGCCTGACCACCCGATCCCGTTAGTCACCTTTTACAACAAACATAGCAATAACAAGGGCAAAAGTGAGAGTGGCTCACTGATACCCCCGACCCGCCTAGTGTGTCAGTAGTTTCAAATTAAATATTGGATAGGGTTAGTGTTTGAAAAATTCATAAAAAAATGGAAAATTAATCAAAACAATTTTTTTCTTTTGACTGCACCCCTCCATATGACACAGATTATATGTACTAAGTTTGAGATGAATCCACTGAATAGTTTAAGAGAAATCGCGTAGACAAAGTTTTCGGATGGATGGACGGAACTTTGGTATAACTATATACCCCCGTCCTAAAAGCATAAAAAGTAACAGACAAAGGGACAGCCCCTTTTCCACCTTGTGGTGGGGGATAATACTGGATATACCATGTGTACTCACCCAAGTAGGTTCCAAAGAATCCCAGAGCTAAGAAACTACTGACAACCAACAGCACACCCAGGTAGATGAAAAGGTATCCCAGCCACAGGATCCAGTTCTCATGGAGCAGAATACAGCGGGGCTGACTGTCCATTGCCATCTTGAACCTGAGGGCAACAACCATACTTGTCAACTAACTGACAGACACAGGATCCAGTTCTCATAGAGCAGAATACAGCGGGGCTGACTGTCCATTGCTATCTTGAACCTGAGGACAACAACCATACTTGTCAACTAACTGACAGACACAGGACCCAGGTCTCATGGAGCAGAATGCAGCGGGGCTGGCTGTCCATTGCTATCTTGAACCTGAGGACAACCTCACTGGTCAACTAACTGACAGACACAGGACCCAGTTCTCATGGAGCAGAATGCAGCGGGGTTGGCTGTCCATTGCTATCTTGAACCTGAGGACAACAACCTCACTGGTCAACTAACTGACAGACACAGGACCCAGTTCTCATGGAGCAGAATGCAGCTGGGTTGTCTGGCCATTGCTATCTTGAACCTGAGGACAACCTCACTGGTCAACTAACTGCAAGACAGGACCCAGTTCTCATGGAGCAGAATGCAGCGGGGCTGACTGTCCATTGCTATCTTGAACCTGAGGACAACAACCTCACTGGTCAACTAACTGACAGACACAGGACCCAGTTCTCATGGAGCAGAATGCAGCGGGGCTGACTGTCCATTGCTATCTTGAACCTGAGGACAACAACCTCACTGGTCAACTAACTGACAGACACAGGACCCAGTTCTCATGGAGCAGAATGCAGCGGGGTTGGCTGTCCATTGCTATCTTGAACCTGAGGACAACAACCTCACTGGTCAACTAACTGACAGACACAGGACCCAGTTCTCATGGAGCAGAATGCAGCGGGGCTGACTGTCCATTGCCATCTTGAACCTGAGGACAACAACCTCACTGGTCAACTAACTGACAGACACAGGACCCAGTTCTCATGGAGCAGAATGCAGCGGGGCTGACTGTCCATTGCTATCTTGAACCTGAGGACAACAACCTCACTGGTCAACTAACTGACAGACACAGGACCCAGTTCTCATGGAGCAGAATGCAGCGGGGTTGGCTGTCCATTGCTATCTTGAACCTGAGGACAACAACCTCACTGGTCAACTAACTGACAGACACAGGACCCAGTTCTCATGGAGCAGAATGCAGCGGGGCTGACTGTCCATTGCTATCTTGAACCTGAGGACAACAACCTCACTGGTCAACTAACTGACAGACACAGGACCCAGTTCTCATGGAGCAGAATGCAGCGGGGCTGACTGTCCATTGCTATCTTGAACCTGAGGACAACAACCTCACTGGTCAACTAACTGACAGACACAGGACCCAGTTCTCATGGAGCAGAATGCAGCGGGGCTGACTGTCCATTGCTATCTTGAACCTGAGGACAACAACCTCACTGGTCAACTAACTGACAGACACAGGACCCAGTTCTCATGGAGCAGAATGCAGCGGGGCTGACTGTCCATTGCTATCTTGAACCTGAGGACAACAACCTCACTGGTCAACTAACTGACAGACACAGGACCCAGTTCTCATGGAGCAGAATGCAGCGGGGCTGACTGTCCATTGCTATCTTGAACCTGAGGACAACAACCTCACTGGTCAACTAACTGACAGACACAGGACCCAGTTCTCATGGAGCAGAATGCAGCGGGGCTGACTGTCCATTGCTATCTTGAACCTGAGGACAACAACCTCACTGGTCAACTAACTGACAGACACAGGACCCAGTTCTCATGGAGCAGAATGCAGCGGGGCTGACTGTCCATTGCTATCTTGAACCTGAGGACAACAACCTCACTGGTCAACTAACTGACAGACACAGGACCCAGGTCTCATGGAGCAGAATGCAGCGGGGCTGGCTGTCCATTGCTATCTTGAACCTGAGGACAACAACCTCACTGGTCAACTAACTGACAGACACAGGACCCAGTTCTCATGGAGCAGAATGCAGCGGGGCTGACTGTCCATTGCTATCTTGAACCTGAGGACAACAACCTCACTGGTCAACTAACTGACAGACACAGGACCCAGTTCTCATGGAGCAGAATGCAGCGGGGCTGACTGTCCATTGCTATCTTGAACCTGAGGACAACAACCTCACTGGTCAACTAACTGACAGACACAGGACCCAGTTCTCATGGAGCAGAATGCAGCGGGGCTGACTGTCCATTGCTATCTTGAACCTGAGGACAACAACCTCACTGGTCAACTAACTGACAGACACAGGACCCAGTTCTCATGAAGCAGAATGCAGCGGGGCTGACTGTCCATTGCTATCTTGAACCTGAGGACAACAACCTCACTGGTCAACTAACTGACAGACACAGGACCCAGGTCTCATGGAGCAGAATGCAGCGGGGCTGGCTGTCCATTGCTATCTTGAACCTGAGGACAACAACCTCACTGGTCAACTAACTGACAGACACAGGACCCAGTTCTCATGGAGCAGAATGCAGCGGGGCTGACTGTCCATTGCTGTCTTGAACCTGAGGACAACAACCTCACTGGTCAACTAACTGACAGACACAGGACCCAGTTCTCATGGAGCAGAATGCAGCGGGGCTGACTGTCCATTGCTATCTTGAACCTGAGGACAACAACCTCACTGGTCAACTAACTGACAGACACAGGACCCAGTTCTCATGGAGCAGAATGCAGCGGGGCTGACTGTCCATTGCTATCTTGGACCTGAGGACAACAACCTCACTGGTCAACTAACTGACAGACACAGGACCCAGTTCTCATGGAGCAGAATGCAGCGGGGCTGACTGTCCATTGCTATCTTGGACCTGAGGACAACAACCTCACTGGTCAACTAACTGACAGACACAGGACCCAGTTCTCATGGAGCAGAATGCAGCGGGGCTGACTGTCCATTGCTATCTTGAACCTGAGGACAACAACCTCACTGGTCAACTAACTGACAGACACAGGACCCAGTTCTCATGGAGCAGAATGCAGCGGGGCTGACTGTCCATTGCTATCTTGAACCTGAGGACAACAACCTCACTGGTCAACTAACTGACAGACACAGGACCCAGTTCTCATGGAGCAGAATGCAGCGGGGCTGACTGCCCATTGCTATCTTGAACCTGAGGACAACAACCTCACTGGTCAACTAACTGACAGACACAGGACCCAGTTCTCATGGAGCAGAATACAGCGGGGCTGACTGCCCATTGCTATCTTGAACCTGAGGACAACAACCTCACTGGTCAACTAACTGACAGACACAGGACCCAGTTCTCATGGAGCAGAATACAGCGGGGCTGACTGCCCATTGCTATCTTGAACCTGAGGACAACAACCTCACTGGTCAACTAACTGACAGACACAGGACCCAGTTCTCATGGAGCAGAATACAGCGGGGCTGACTGCCCATTGCTATCTTGAACCTGAGGACAACAACCTCACTGGTCAACTAACTGACAGACACAGGACCCAGTTCTCATGGAGCAGAATACAGCGGGGCTGACTGCCCATTGCTATCTTGAACCTGAGGACAACAACCTCACTGGTCAACTAACTGACAGACACAGGACCCAGTTCTCATGGAGCAGAATGCAGCGGGGCTGACTGTCCATTGCTGTCTTGAACCTGAGGACAACAACCTCACTGGTCAACTAACTGACAGACACAGGACCCAGTTCTCATGGAGCAGAATGCAGCGGGGCTGACTGTCCATTGCTATCTTGAACCTGAGGACAACAACCTCACTGGTCAACTAACTGACAGACACAGGACCCAGTTCTCATGGAGCAGAATGCAGCGGGGCTGACTGTCCATTGCCATCTTGAACCTGAGGACAACAACCTCACTGGTCAACTAACTGACAGACACAGGACCCAGTTCTCATGGAGCAGAATGCAGCGGGGCTGACTGTCCATTGCTATCTTGAACCTGAGGACAACAACCTCACTGGTCAACTAACTGACAGACACAGGACCCAGTTCTCATGGAGCAGAATACAGCGGGGCTGACTGTCCATTGCTATCTTGAACCGGAGGACAACAACCTCACTGGTCAACTAACTGACAGACACAGGACCCAGTTCTCATGGAGCAGAATGCAGCGGGGCTGACTGTCCATTGCTGTCTTGAACCTGAGGACAACCTCACTGGTCAACTAACTGACAGACACAGGACCCAGTTCTCATGGAGCAGAATGCAGCGGGGCTGACTGTCCATTGCTGTCTTGAACCTGAGGACAACAACCTCACTGGTCAACTAACTGACAGACACAGGACCCAGTTCTCATGGAGCAGAATGCAGCGGGGCTGACTGTCCATTGCTATCTTGAACCTGAGGATAACAACCTCACTGGTCAACTAACTGACAGACACAGGACCCAGTTCTCATGGAGCAGAATGCAGCTGGGTTGTCTGTCCATTGCTATCTTGAACCTGAGGACAACAACCTCACTGGTCAACTAACTGACAGACACAGGACCCAGTTCTCATGGAGCAGAATGCAGCGGGGCTGACTGTCCATTGCTGTCTTGAACCTGAGGACAACAACCTCACTGGTCAACTAACTGACAGACACAGGACCCAGTTCTCATGGAGCAGAATGCAGCGGGGCTGACTGTCCATTGCTATCTTGAACCTGAGGATAACAACCTCACTGGTCAACTAACTGACAGACACAGGACCCAGTTCTCATGGAGCAGAATGCAGCGGGGCTGACTGTCCATTGCCATCTTGAACCTGAGGACAACAACCTCACTGGTCAACTAACTGACAGACACAGGACCCAGTTCTCATGGAGCAGAATACAGCGGGGCTGACTGTCCATTGCCATCTTGAACCTGAGGACAACAACCTCACTGGTCAACTAACTGACAGACACAGGACCCAGTTCTCATGGAGCAGAATACAGCGGGGCTGACTGTCCATTGCCATCTTGAACCTGAGGACAACAACCTCACTGGTCAACTAACTGACAGACACAGGACCCAGTTCTCATGGAGCAGAATACAGCGGGGCTGACTGTCCATTGCCATCTTGAACCTGAGGACAACAACCTCACTGGTCAACTAACTGACAGACACAGGATCCAGGTCTGGCTTGTAAACAAGTGTTGGTTGGATTGTTGTTTTACACCGCACTCAGCAATATTCCAGCTATATGATGGCGGTCTGTAAATAATTGAGTCTGGACCAGACAATCAAGTGATTGACATCACGAGCATCGATCCATGCAATTTGGACCTATGACATGCATCAACCAAGTCAGCAAGCCTGACCACCCAATCCCGTTATCCCCTCTTACGACAAGCATAGTGGCCTTTTATGGCAAGCATGGGTTGCTGAAGACCTATTCTACCCCGGATCTTCACGGGCTTGTAAACGAGTGTCCCAAGATGACAATCATGACCTCTTTGATGTCTACAAGCTGGAAGCCGGAGGCACATCATAAATTACATTAAAATATCTATCTTTCTCTGAATCCCTTCACCAATTATTGAAGATGATTTCCTTGTTTGAAACCAAAACTTCATCATTTAGTGAAGAAAATCAGAAATAGACAGACTGAACTTCTATTTTTTATGTGAACAAAAATGTCAGCATGGTCAGTTAAATATAAATTGTATGATGCAGGGTTCACTCTAGGCATTACTGACATGGGCCCTTTATGTGAAAATTTCAAATATTCCAGAGGCACCCCCATAGAGCACAGTGTTTAAATGCCCCATTATATTTGAAAATGTGGACCTTTTTTTCAAATTTAAGAGCTTAAAGCGCAAGGCCCCTCCCTAGAATTATCCATGCATGATACCATAATAATAATAATGATCTTCTCTATTTATGTACAATGTCACACAGTTATAATAACCACACAGTCCTCAATGATTACAAGTGTGTGAATGTGTGAGTGTTTTTGTTTTTCTTGTTTAACACCACACTCATCAATATTCTAGCTCCATGGGGGCGGTCGGGTAGCCTTGTGGTTAAAGCGTTCGCTCGTCACGCCGAAGACCCAGGTTCGATTCCCGACATGGGTACAATGTGTGAAGCCCATTTCTGGTGTCCCCCGCCGTGATATTGCTGGAATATTGCTAAAAGCGGCGTAAAACCATATTCACTCACTCTAGGTCCATGATGGCGCCCTAATTCTCTGGACCAAGCAATCTCACAATTGATATCATGAGCAAAGATCTACACAGCAAAAATCCAGCGATATCATGGAAGCCCTTAAATAATCAAGTGTGGATCAGACAATCCAGTGATTGATATTGTGGGCAATGATCCATGCCATTGGGGAACGAGGTGTGAGGTGAAATGGGGTTTAACGTGGCGTCCAAGATTATTGCACTTATATAGCGACGTGCATGCACGTGTGTGTGGCTGCTTGTACTAGTCCGGACTGATGCCAATTTATAGTGCTAGCCCACTGAGATACCATGCCGAAGTTTAACATGAATACTCCACTCAGACACAGTATACTGACTCCGAGCCGACCAGTCCTTGTTTTAGCCCTTTAATGCCGAGCGCCAGACAGGGTAACAACAAGTACCATCTTTTAACGTCTTTTGGTATGATGCGGTCGGGGATCGAACCCCGGACCTTCCGCTCTCTGGGCGCTCTACCTCTGGGGAACGATGACACACCATCAACTAAAACACTTAGTCTGACCACCTTATCCATTAAGTCAGCTCTTGCGAACAGCATAGGGAGTAATTCGAACCCAGCATGACCCTGGTTCCCAGTTTTGTCCCCTCTTACGACAAGCAATGGGGTTCCATAGGGCAATAAACTTGGACAGAGGTTCTAACAAACCTGTAACTCTTGTAGAGAGTGGCAGAGATAATACAGAGAGCCAGGGCTGTACATGCAAGTCGGGGGTTCCCAAACAGCTTCGAAAGGAACTGTGTTCTGTACTCCAGTCTTGCAACCTGTGAAAGAAAATTCGGTTCTATCATAGTTGTGGGGGTGAACGTTCCTTAATGCCACACTCAGCAATACTCCAACCATATCTCGGCAGCCTGTTGATAGTCCAGTGGTGTGGAGTCATCCCTCAGATGACCTTCGTACCTTGTCAATCTCATTAAAATCAGATCTTAGTTTTGGCTACCACTTAAAGATCTGAGGACATCCCATTACGGGTCACGTCAGAACGACCTTTCGTGAATTTTGACCGACCAATGAAATGACTGACAAGAAATGAACAGTAGCCAATCAGAAGGCAGCTTTCTCGAGCTTTACGACACTAGTTTCAAACTGGCGACTACGCTTCGAAACATATTTAGAAGTATTCTTGATTAAAAAAATAAAACTGATTAGAAGAACATTCTGGAATGGCTTATAGATGGCCTAGATTGAATGGATATAATCATAAAACCCGTAACTGTCGTTCGGAACACCCCCTGTTAAATATTTCGTGGTTGCATGACAAGAAAACACATTCCGACTGTCACTTTCATGATTTGGTAAGCGACGCTCTGATTGGTTGGATGAAAGGTCGTTCTGACGTGACCCTTAATGGCAAGCCCTCAGATCTTTGTTTAGTATAGTGAGAACTAATATCTGATTTTAATGAGATTGTTACCTTGTCTACTTGCGGACGAGGTTAATACCTTTGGTCATGTGGACAAGGTGTCCGACCTCCAATCTGCATGATCAGTATGTCACTGGTTCTAATCCCATCAATGGAATACATCCCCACAACAAGTAGCAGAGCTCCACGTAACGTTTTGAGCAATTGAGTTTTAACTCAAGCATTATCTCAATGACGGCGGTCTGTAAATAATCGACCATCCAGTGATTGACATCATCAGCATCGATCTCCGCAATTGGGATTCAAGAACATGCATCAACCAAGTCAGCGAGCCTGACCACCCAATCTCGTAAGTCGCCTCTTCCGACAAGCTTTGGTTGCAGAAGACCAATTCTAACCTGGATCTTCACAGGCAGTAGAAATCTGTACCGTTTTTACTTACATGTTTGCGTGCGTTACGTCCTTAATTACAAACGTCAATAAACACAGAGATTCATGTCTACACTTGGGGAGTTTGTATTGGGCAATATTAAATAATAATTATAACAAATAGCTCTGGTGTCTGATATAAGTTTTTGCGATTTTTTTCCACATAACCCTAAAGATTATACAGACAACATACTTGACTACAAAACATCACAGAAAGTTTGCACATCTCTCTATCTCAAATAGTCAGCCAATTTCTGTCCTTTCAATAGCACAGTTAAAATCTTAATGGCTTTGGTTGGTTGTTTTGTTGTCTAACGCTGCACTCAGCAATATTCCAGCTATATGACGGCGGTCTGTAAATACACAAAAAATCGAGTCTGGACCAGACAATCCAGTGATCGATATCATGAGCATCAATCCTCGCAATTAGGATCGATGACATGAAACAATCAAGTCAGCGTGCCTGACCACCCGATCCCATTAGTCACCGTTTACGACAAGCATAGTCACCTTTTACGGCAAGCATGGGTTGCTGAAGAGCTATTCTGTCCCGGCTCTTCAAGGGTCCTTAATGGCACAGGTAAGATATGTTCCTGGTGCGTGAATGGCACAGTCGGTAATACATTTTCTTAAACACCTTTTTTTCATATAATTTTTTATACAAAGTGATAAATGTTCTAATAAATAAACTTTCTAATTTATAACAGCTTATTATGTTTGAGTGCCCTGCAGTACTATCATATTCTGACTGAAGGGGGTTGCTTAGCCAGGTCAAGGTGAAATGGGGTTTAACGTCGCATCCAAGATTATTGCACTTATATACACAAGTCTGTGTGTGTGTGTGGCTGCTTGTACTAGTCCGGACTGATGCCGATTTATAGTGCTAGCCCACTGAGATACCATGGCCCAGTTTAACAGGAATACCCGACTCAGACACAGTATACTGACTCCGAGCCGACCAGTCCTTGTTTTAGCCCCTTAATGCCGAATGCCAGACAGGGTAACAACAAGTACCATCTTTTAACATCTTTTGGTACGATGCGGCGCGGGATCGAACCCACAACCTTCAGCTCTCCGGGCGGATGCTCTACCACTAGACCAAGAGGCAGTTGCTGAGCCAGGTAAAAAACAAGTACCATCTTTTAACGTCTTTTGGTACGATGCGGCGCGGGATCGAACCTACAACCTTCCGCTCTCCGGGCGGATGCTCTAGCACTAGACCAAGAGGCAGTTGCTGAGCCAGGTAAACAAGAGATGACTAGGCAGATTTATGATTATTGAATACAGGGGTAATTAAATGGTGTTGACAACGTTATTTTAGGATAATGTTTTCACAGTTGGATTATGGTTGTTTTCATTGATACTTAGACAACCCAATTTAAGCTTACATGGCATTTAGGTTAACATTGTTTCAAAAGAGATACTTATTGAACGTTTTTGTTTCTGTGACAAAGTAGTCATGGATTAATATTTAGGTGATTTAGAATATTGCAAGGACATTTTATTTTCATATACTCAACAACAAAAGTTCCTGACACCAATATTTTAGTGTATTTTTCAAACAAGTTAAGTTTGGTTTTCAATATTGTAGTACATGTACTGAATCAAGTCACAAAAAATGCAACTGCTACAGAAAAGCATGCATTCCATGCAAAAGTTGACTTTTATGCAAGCCCCATGCATTTCACTACCCAAGAATGGGTATAAAAACATGTGCGTTAACAGGATTCCATATGCATTGTTTATCATCATGCTGACAACAACCACTCAGAAAAACAACAAAATTACGCAATTATTCAACATTACGAAATGCCACGCCTGTCCGAAAATGAGTGTCTGTGATCAATTGGTATGCTTGAAGCAGGATCGAGTCAACGTGATGTTGCAAGACAATTTAACATCCACAGAAACACCATTTGGTGTTTATGGCAATGTTGGCAACAGACTAATGCAGTCAGAGACCATCCTCGGTGTGGCAGGCCACTCGTAACCAATAATCAACAAGACAACTGGATTCGAACAACACACCTACAAAATTGATTCCAGCCAGCAACAGTGACTGCAAGATGCATCCCTGGCCTCGACGAATATCTTCACAAACCGTACGTCGTCGCCTCAGATGTGCAGGGATTGTCGCCAGAAGACCCGCCAGACGTCCCATTTTGACAGGAAACCACCGTCTAGCATGTCTACAGTTGTACATACAGCGTCTACGCTGGACGGCCATGCAGTGGGGACAACTTCTATTCACTGACAAATCTCGTTTTCACCTCAGCCACAGCGATGGATGGATTCGAGTGTACCGACGTCGAGGTGAACGTTACGTCAATCATTATGTCATGGAAGAAGATCGGTTCGGGGACGGCAGCGTTATGGTATAGGGTGGGATTATAGCAAGACAGAGGACCCATTTGATAGTGGTAGAGGGAAATCTCAATGGACAGCGCTACCGCGACGAGATCAACGGCCCTGTTGTTCTACCGTTTTCGCATCGTCATGGCCAAGGCATTACCTTTCAACATGACAACGCCCGGCCTCATATTGCTCAACTTGTTCAGGATTCCCTTCATCAAAACAACGTGAAAGTCATCCCCTGGCCGGCCCGCTCCCCTGATCTCTCACCAATCAAGCACATGTGGGATGAGATGGTTCGGCGCCTTCGACGTCAACCACGTGTTCCACAGACACTCCAGGAACTTCGAAACATGCTCCAGCAGATATGGACAGATATCCCACAGGACTTTGTGCGACACCTGGTCCATTCCATGAGATGAAGATGTGTTGCTTGCATTGCAACCAGAGGTGGACACACACGCTATTGATTTGTAAATTGACATTTTGGCACGTTCATGTTTTTTTTATGAAATCCCGCATTTTCTGAACACTTACAGGAGTCTTTTATCTGTTGCACAGCGAAATTGTTTCAGATTTGGTAAAAAACATAACTTTGCATTAAATCTTATTTAATGTCACAGGAACTTTTGTTGTTCAGTATAGTTTATGTATAAAGTATATTTTATGAATAGAACGACCATCAATGTTAGTTTCTTTGATAGGCATTTAGAAGTTGGAGTACTAAGTAAGAATAAGAATTTATGGATGAACAACTTCTTTATTACAATTAAGAGCAACGTTTCGGTGTAGGTTCTAACACACTTGCTTGATAACCGTGTTAGAACCTACACCGAAATGTCGCTCTTAATAGTAATAAAGAAGTTGTTCATCCATATATCTTATCCTTACTCATCAACGTTAGGTTAAGTTATCTAACAGTTATGATAGTTTTAAGTATATAGCATCATTGCAAAACTTAGGCTAAAAAAAATAATGGTCTTGGTTCTCAGGCACTGCCAACATCATAAAGTTTGCCGCACATTTCATTTTTATTTCCCTTTTAAAAACAAACAAAACCTTAAATATTCCAATTCCATGGTAGTCCAATAATGTATACCATTATTTGACTCATCAAGGAATACATTATGTTGGGAGGCCCTTTCCCAGGTGGAATGAACACAACTGTCTATTTGCTTACACAACTGTTTGTTTGATTACATACTAAGTAAGGATAAGATTTATGGATGAACAACTTCTTTATGGCAATTAATTGATTTTTTCCAAACAAAGAGTGACTAATCAATAAGATACTTAGCCCTAAGCTTATGAGCATGCATTCTATCTAATCGCAGTCTTATGTGTATGCAGCAGCTGTGTACGCTGATATGACTCACGACAGCTGTGTACGCTGATATGACTCACGACAGCTGTGTACGCTGATATGACTCACGACAGCTGTGTACGCTGATATGACTCACGACAGCTGTGGAAATGGTATCTCTGTGCTGATCAGTGACATAAAAATAGAGTCTCACACGTCAATATGATAAAAAGCTTGAAAAAATACTCGCATCCTTTGCCAATATGACATGTCCGGTTGTGTGTTAGGCAAGAAATATTGTACGTTTTTCAAGATCTGCGCTCCAGAAACGAGCACTACCGCCATTTTCAGTCTAAGTCAAAGTCGTTGCTAGTGAAACTCAAAAATTTATTTTTTCAAAATCCCAAACTATTAAAAAGGCACTGGTTTATCACTTGACCTATCTATGTACCAAGTTTGGTGAAGAAATATAGTATGGTTTTCAAGATTTGCTCCGGAAAGGAGCACAAACGCCATTTTCAGTCAAAGTCAAAGTTGTTGCTATTGAAACTAAAAATTGATTAATTCAAAATCCCAAACTATTATAGTCTGGAAGGTAATTTAAGGTACCGACCTCTACTACAATATCTGAAAAACTATTGGACCTACTCCAGTCAAAGTTGGTATGAGATTATTAAACAGTTATACATAACTGGATATTACATGTAAAGACAATCGGTGCATGAATAAAAAATCTGTCTATTTAGCTATCACTATTTTTCATCAACAACCAGACCTGTTCGTCATGGGTGGAACGAGCATTCATTGAAACAGCCATCTGCATAATGCTACCCCTGCGTCACAGGGCCATATGACACAGTTGAACCAATCAACTCAACTCGAAAGGGTGCACGGGAATCACGCACACACAAATACGGTGTTAGCGTTGGGCGTCTCAACTTGTGTGATATAAATAATTTTTCTACCTACCCTCTTTTATTTTTCCACGTAATAGGAACCAAACCTATTTTTTTTTAAAGGCCTTAGGGCATGTGAAAAAATAATGAAGTATATCTTAAATGGGATAGCCACAAGAGCATGAAGACTTCACTGATGTCTAGCCCTGACATGTAAGGTGGGATGAGTCAGAGCTCCAGATAAGCTGTGTATCTGTGTAAAATACGCTTCAGATATGCAGAAATATGCAGTAAAATCAAATCCAAGCGTATCAAATACGCAACGAACATTACAGATACGCTACAAAAATAAAACTTGTGTGTATCATCAAAATATTGTGAAGTAACCCTGCGTATTTGATTAGCAAATCAGCAACTTATTTTGAAATTATAAACGGGCATTCCGTCAACCTTGCCAAACTCCCCGATGACAGTCACATCATGATCATTTGCCATCATACTTTTTTATGGAAGTATCGTGGTATTTTTGAGTCCTATAAAGCTCTCGAACCCACACGACACCAGTTTGCAGGGACTAGATGAATAGTGTTTTTAAATATTTAATTTAAATACCCACATGTGTAAAAACTAGTGGGTAACAGAAATTTGAATACCCAGATAGAATTACTGATACCCAATGATTTTAAAATGCATGGGTAAAATACCCACAACACCAAAAGCTTATCTGGAACTCTGGATCAGTCATCACATAGTAACAGGTTGGCGTACTTACAACATTCCACGTGAAAGGAGTTAACCACAACGCAGCAAGTCCGAACCAGATGTTGGAGTCTGTCCATGTAATGGCCAGGTCCGGGATCTCCATCTGAAACCACAGCATCAACATCAGTGCTATCCTTCAGGCAGAGTGAGGAAGTGATTTGGAGGTTTTGTTGTTTAATGCCACACTCAGCAATATTCCAGCTCTGACAGTAGTCTGTAAATAACAGTGTTTCCGCTGGCTTTTGAAACTGCCAGTCCACCACGACTGGCAACTCTAAAAATTACCAGTCCCCCCTAATTTTTGTCAGTCCCAACTTTCAACAAATGAAAAAACGTATGAAAATTACCTGGTTTTAATTCTTTCAACTCTTTTTTTAATATTTCAAGACTAAATCACTGCAAATATATATTTAACCTTGAATATTTGATATTTAATAGCACTAAAAACAGACAAGGGGAACCAAGAAGTCAACTGACAAGTTGACTTTGTTCGAAAATATATACTTATATGAATATCGTCAATGTTTTGTTCAACAACAGATGCTAAGATGCTATATTTGCCGGTCCACAGGGACTGGCAGTAACATAAATTACCGGTCTAAGTAAAAAACTGGTAATTACCGGTTAACGGGAACACTGAATAATCGTGTCTGGATCAGACAATCCAGTGATTGACATCACGAGCATCGATCCACGCAATTAGGATACGATGACTTGCATCAACCAAGTCACCGAGACTGACCGTTAGTCGCCTTTTACAACAAGCATGAGTTGCTGAAGACCAATTCTAACCTGGATCTTCATGGGTTTGGAGGGAGGGAGGAGAAAATTTTGTAAATAATCTGGACTACATAATCCAATGATTGACATCATGAGCATCAACATATGCAATTGGGATACGATGACATGCATGAACCAAGCTAGCAAGCCTGACCATCCGATCCCGTTAGTCCCATCTTACAACAAACATTTGTTCTGGGGGAATTGATAAACCAGGAGTATTGATTCCTGTGGTGAGTATATGGTCTCTGCTGTGGAACAATATTTCCCGGATGAGGACTGTATCCCTCGGTTAATATCTACATAGGACTAATTCATTGCTCACACCAACCTTCTCGTCAAGACCAATTTTGTTAATGTTAATGGTATCCTAAGGCTAGTAGAATTTCAAACATTTTGGGGGTATTGCTACATGTTATCATTATTCAGGCGAGTAGATGTTTTCGGTTATTTCCATCCCTTACCATGTAGGTTACTATAGACCAAACAGAATTTTACTAGACACAGGCTTCGGACTAGTGGATAAAGTTAGACAAATTATAAAATTGGAAACAAGCAATAATTTGGATGGTTTGTTAACAATCCTGCTAAGAGTAATACCAAAGACGTATATATATATATATACTCAACAACAAAAGTCCCTGTGACACCAATATTTCAGTGTATTTTTCAAACAAGTAAAGTCTGGTTTTCAATATTTTAGTACATGTATGGAATCAAGTCACAAAAAATGCAACTGCTACAGAAAAGCATGCATTCCAAGCAAAAGTTGACTTTTATGCAAGCCCCATGCATTTCACTACCCAAGAATTGGTATAAAATCATGTGCGTTAACGGGATTCCATATGCATTGTTTAGCATCGTGCTGACAACAACCACTCAGAAAAACAACAAAATTACGCAATTATTCAACATTACGAAATGCCACGCCTGTCCGAAAATGAGCGTCTGTGATCAATTGGTATGCTTGAAGCAGGATCGAGTCAATGTGATGTTGCAAGATAATTTAACATCCACAGAAACACCATTTGGTGTTTATGGCAATGTTGGCAACAGACGAATGCAGTCAGAGACCATCCTCGGTGTGGCAGGCCATGTGTAACCAATAATCGACAAGACAAGTGGATTCGAACAACACACCTACAAAATTGATTGCAGCCAGCAACAGTGACTGCAAGATGCATCCCTGGCCTCGACGAATATCTTCATAAACCGTACGTCGTCACCTCAGATGTGCAGGGATTGTCGCCAGAAGACCCGCCAGACGTCCCATTTTGACAGGAAACCACCGTCTAGCATGTCTACAGTTGTACATACAGCGTCTACGCTGGACGGCAATGCAGTGGGGACAAGTTCTATTCACTGACAAATCTCGTTTTCACCTCAGCCACAGCGATGTACGGATTCGAGTGTACCGGCGGCGAGGTGAACTTTACATCAATCATTGTGTCATGGAAGAAGATCGGTTCGGGGGCAGCAGCGTTATGGTATGGGGTGGGATTACAGCAAGACAGAAGATCCGTTTGATAGTGATAGAGGGAAATTTCAATGGATAGCACTACCGCGATGACATCATCAACCCTGTTGTTCTACCGTTTTTGCATTGTCATGGCCCAGGCATTACCTTTCAACAACGCCCGGCCTCATCTTGCTCGACTTGTGTCCCCTGGCCGGCGGACACACACGCTATTGATTTGTAAATTGACATATTGGCATGTTCATGTTTTTTTATGAAATCACGCATTTTCTTAAGTCAGTATGGGAAATTAAACCATTTGAACACTTACAGGAGTCTTTTATCTGTTGCAAACCAAAATTGTTTCAGATTTGGTAAAAAACATAACTTTGCATTAAATCTTATTCAGTGTCACAGGAACTTTTGTTGTTCAGTATATGTATGTCTTTGGTAATACTGAACCACAAGGGACTGTTCTGTGGCTGTGGTCCTGTTGGCTAGGCTACCTATAGTTTGTACGACTCTAAAGGGGAAGTTTCAATGAACCTCCCAATGCGTTAACTAGTAGAAGTGAAAAAGGTAGAATGTAGTGCTGGGACAAGTCCAAATTAACTACCCGGGTACCCACCCCCTATTATCCGACCCTACCTGGGTACCCGCTGTAGGTCTCAAGAGTAGGGTACAAAATGTCCAATTGGGAAATTTTTTACCAGAGCCCTGGCAAAAAGTATTTAGGTACACTATGAAATGATCTGGTCATGCATACACTGAAGTTGACTTAAGTTTTATCTTTATTTAACCATATAAAAGTCAGAAAGAATGTGTGCATAGTCAGAAAGAAATGAGAACATTAGAACATGTAGTGTAACCATGGCGTTGTAGATAATTTTTGTCATTAAACAAAATATATAGGCCTGGGGCACCTGGGTCCTACTCAGTACCCACTCGACACGAGTACCTGAGTAACCCCTCCCGTCTCAGCCCTACCTAGCACCCATATATATATATACCGTATTCGACATAATAAGCGCCCAGGCCGCTCTCAAAATTAGTAGTAGTGGGCTCTTATTAGAATATTATTTTGGTGAAAAAAACAGTTGAAAGATAAATTTCGTGGTTTATGCTGACAGCCTGAAATGTTTATGTACGACAGATATATTTTTCCAGAATAATTAAGGGTACATATAACACACGAGTGCCTATTATACGCGAAAAAATAAGTCTTGTGTACATTGATTAATCGGAAGGGGTGCTAATTGGGATTGTTCACTAGCCAATATATTAGCAAATATCGCCGTGGGCGCTTATTACGTCGAATACGGTACTACAGGTTACACAGATGAGTCATTTTGCAACTTAATAATTACTTTTCTAATGGCAGCAGTGTAAAAGAGATGTATCGTCGGTTTAAACGTAACCCTCATGTTGGATACGAACGGGTACCTACCATTCGCTGGTAGCGACCAGCAAAGTATCCAATATATATAATCACTCATGCAACATTACACATTTAGTGAGTTCAATCGTCAGAGTAAGTTTCAAAACAATACTGCGCACACGTAGCAAACACCTGATGCATAAATCATAACACGTTCGTAGGCTTGAGGCCTAAAACAAAACCTAGCTTATCGTTACATAGAATGCTAGTTTTCAAAATGGCAACAAACCTCGCTAAAATCCAACAACAGCCTATCTTCACAACACCCCTTTGGTTGCCTGATATCGTAGTTATAATTCATGATACGCCCTCATTGGATCGTTGTTTATCAGCGACTTCCTTGTAAACAACCGTCCAGAGCGTGTTCGTCAGGACGCAACGCGAGTTTATCAGGGGCAGATAACTACACCATTTGCTAGCCGCTACAAAATTCAAATCATTACCAGAACAGGTATAAATCGATAAACGTAAACGAAATCACTGGCTATTAGTTATGTTTGATAAAAACTACATTCGAACCATCCTAACTGTATTAATTAACTGTATTAAATTAAATGTATCGATACATAAACAGACGTTTTCAGACAATAACAAAAGTTCAAATAAATAGATCCGTATTGAAATAGGTTAGATCTAAAAAGTGTCACCGGGATTATGCATATATATAAAATAAATAATCATGAACTGAATTTCATGCATATATTTATAATATAATCAGCATATTTTTTATGGCGACTTCATAATGATTCCATGTTGAGTTGATAACTGAGCTGAATTTGTTTAAAAAATCAGAATAAAATGAAACACGACACTGTGACGTCACAACCACACTACGTCATCGTTTTGGTTTTTGACGTCACAACAATACCCCGCGACAATCGGTAGTCAAACACGCCTTTGGACTGACGTGCAGATAGTGATAGAAAGAAAACCGAACTATGAGCGAGAAGAAGAAGCCGCGGGCTATGTCCATCACCAAGGGCCTCGGTGTGCCATCCGCCAACGACTCGGGGATGGGGGGCAGGAAGAAATCCCTGTCCCGTGTCAGTAGCAGTGTTTCACAGTCCGACGCAGGTGAGCTATCATAGATGTATTAAATGACCCGTGAAGATCCGGGGTAGAATAGATCTTCAGCAACCCATGCTTGTCGTAAGAGGCGAAAAACGGGGTCGGGTGGTCAGGCTCACTGACTTGGTTGATGCAGGTCACCGTGTCCCAATTGTGGGATCGATTCTCATGATGTCCATCGACCCGTGAAGATTCCGGGTTGGAATAGGTTTTCAGCAACCCATGCTTGCCGTAAAAGGTGACTGTGCTTGTCGTAAAAGGCGACTAACGGGATCGGGTGGTCACGCTCGCTGACTTGGTTGATGCACGTCATCGATCCCAGTTACGTGGATCGATGCTCATGATAATAATCACTGGATTGTCTGGTCCAGACTCGATTATTTACAGACTGCCGTCATATAGCTGGAATATTGCTGAGTGCGGCGTGAGAGAACAAATAAATAACAAACAAGGTGTATAAATATATTTCTTAACCGTTTCAACTTATGTGACTCCACAAGTTTTAAAAACTATTTAAATACATAATATTTTCTTGTAGCTTCGTTTGCATTATTTTTACAAATGTATAAATAAGTGTTTTCTTAACATTTTATTAACTATAAATAAAAAGAAAGTTACTCAGCGTCATTATTGAAGGGTCACCTAGGTATTTGTTTGTTTGTTGTTTAACGCCGCACTCAGCAATATTCCAACTATATGTCGGCGGTCTGTAAATAATCGAGTCTGGACCAGACAATCCAGTGATCACGATTGGATGCTTTTATGAATCTGGAAAAATGGACGCTTTTTAAAAACAAAGAAAAATGCAAGATTGGGGGTGATGTAAAAACTACCCAAAACACTCACCTGAACGTAACCAGTGGTTTAGCTCATGCACGTGCAATACATGATAAACAACTGTCAAAGTGGGTATAAAATAATTCAATCCAGATGCAAATGAACTGCATTATTCGAAGTTGTAAATGTGACGTTTTATTCTTATTGTCTGAGTGACCCCTACCGACGTTGAGTACATACTGGTGTTGTGAAAACATGAATATATCGATTTATTTCTGTTTACACTGATGATAAATTATGGAAGATATACACATAAAATTAATATCAAACCTACATTGTTCTATTGGCCACGAAATATAAGACAAGGTACACCGTCTGTCTTTGATACGATTGTTTCATTGGAGTTAGAATTTATTTACAATGTTATTAGCTTGATATAGATTAATTACCGGAGCTAAATTATATAGATAAAAAGACAGATATTAAAAGCGAAAAAAAGCCATTCCGTCATTTAGCTAAACTGAGGAGCAAAAGAAACTAAACATCTCAGTTTTATATTATGTTTGACTTTCAATTGAAAATATTTGAACTGAGCGATATTATAGCCAAACATTTAGATGTACTGACGCTTAGTCGGCAGTGAAAAAATTCTTTTACATGTTTTAATTTTTTAATATGATTTGATTTAAAACTTTTAAAGATGAAAAAAGAATCGCACAGTACACAGCTGCTGATCGGTATTTCAGTCATCAAACCGGAAAATCAATAAATTTGCTATTTTTCCGGCACAAAATACAACATTTGAAACATGGCAGGGGTCATGTTGTTGCTAATTCATTTTTTTACCCCAGTCTTCATTGAACTAATATATTTTTACACAAAATTACCCAGCCACAGATTACCTTTTACAAACAGTTGCAGGAATTATTGATGGTTAAATATACATAATCAAATTTAACAATCAGTTCTTTCAATTTTCATGTACATACAAAAACCTCGATATACTCACTCCCCCGCCTCAGCCTTGTTTGATTTGTCTTCGCTTCCAATTTATTTATGATGTCCGAAACATACGCGTATTGCATTGGATGTGTGGTCGGAAACGTCTGTACCTTAACGTGCCTAGTGCACGCAGTTAACAACACATCCCTCTATTAAATCAGTATTGCATTACAGTGTATGGCAGCACATTTATCAGACTGCTTCGTATGAACACGCGCTGAACATCTGTTGAATAAAGCGGATCGATGCAAAGAATAATTATTGTACTGACCTATTTACACGTGTACTTTGGGCTATAATGGCAAGTTTGAAATGGTAATATATATACACAACTCAAAAGAACACCCGTTTCTTTCATATTACTATAGTTGTATCACGAATCGGTTACGTTTTGTTTGTAGCATATGCAATAAGACTCACTACTTGAACTGATCAGTGAAGATCCGGGGTAGAACAGGTCTTCAGCAACCCATGTTTGCCGTAAAAGGGCACTATGCTTATCGTAAGAGGCGACTAACGGGATCGGGTTGTCAGGCTCGCTGACTTGGTTGATGCATGTCATCGTATCCCAATTGCTCGGATCGATGCTCATGATGTCAGTCACTGGATTATATGGTCCAGACTCGATTATTTACAGACCGTCGTTGTTTAATGCCGCACTCAGCAATATTTCAGCTATATGACGGCGGTCTGTAAATAATCAAGTCTAGACCAGACAATCCAGTGATTGACATCACAAGCATCGATCCACGCAATTGGGACTCGATGACATGGTCCAGGGCGCCAGAATTCGCTGTGCAGAGTTGCGTCCCTTGGGCACACCATAAACCTACGATGCCGGTTCAAAATACGATGTCACTGTTTTATAATGGCGTGTCCCAAAATAGATATTGTGTGTAAAATATTACATATCATTCCTTATATATATATATATATCATCACAGCAACGAAGCCCGATCTTGAGGTGAAGTGTATAAGGAGCCTTTGTAAGTCTATGAAAAATTGTATTGTATTGTGGAGTTGTGTCCCTTAGAAATGCCAGAATCTTATAATCAATGGTTCGAATCCTAGTTTCGCCTAAATGTTTGACAGCACCGCGCTCGTGGGTTTCACCGAAGTGGTAAACGTCTGAGACCTGCATCACTTCGGGCTTTCCTCCCCCATTAAGCTGACACGCCGTGATGCAGCTGGAATAGTGTTAAAAGCGGCGTTAAACACAACTCACTCACTTATACACAGGGCGGGGGAGAGGAAAAAAGAAGAAGCATGCACTTTTGGAAGAAGAGCCCGCCACGCCTGAACAAGTCAAGAAGGCGATGAGGGATCAGATGCTGGCTCAATTGAAGGCTGCCCCTGGCTTGGATAAGGTGAGCACCTTGGCGTCATCATAAGAAAACAAACAACATGTCAACCAAAAAACAACAACCCCGCCCCCGCCTCCCTCTCCCCCCCCCCCCCCCCCCCCCAAAAAAAAAAAAAAAAAAATTAAAAAAATACAACCCCAAAAACCCGGCTCCGTGGCCTAGTGGTAGAACGTCCGCCCGGAGAGCGGAAGGTCCAGGACTCGATCCCCGCCCGCGTCATTGTTACCCTGTCTGGCGCTCGGCATTAAGGGGCTAAAACAAGGACTGGTCGGCTCGGAGTCAGTATACTGTGTCTGAGTGGGGTATTCATGTTAAACTGCGGCCTGGTACCTCAGTTGGCTAGCATCATAACATCGGCAATGGTGCGCAAGGGCGGGAGTTAGCATTTTTTAAAGGGAGGGGTCCAAAATATCAAAATCCTCTCTCACCCCCAGGACCCCCGTTGTATCACTCCATCTGCAACATCCCTGTGGCAGGACCGACCGATGTTACCAGCCATGAACTGCTTCGTGAGTCATGGGCTAAACATGCAACTACGCTGTTCGTAAGGGGGGCGGTCGGGTAGCCTAGTGGTTAAAGTGTTCGCTCGTCACGCCGAAGACCCGGGTTCGGTACCCGACATGGGTACAATGTGTGAAGCCCATAGATAGGTCTAGTGGTAAACCGGTGCCTTTTTAATAGTTTGGGATTTTGAAAAAAGTAATTTTTGAGTTTCAATAGCAACGACTTTGACTTAGACTGAAAATGGCGGTAGTGCTAATTTCTGGAGCAGATCTTGAAAACCGTAAATATTTCTTGCCTTACACACAACCGGACATGTCATATTGGCGAGGGATGCGAGTATTTTTTCTAGCTTTTTGTCATATTGACATGTGAGTCTCTATTTTTATGTCACCGATCAGCATAGAGATACCATTTCCGCAGCTGTCGTGAGTCATATCAGCGTACACAGCTGCTGCATATACATTAGACTGCGATTAGATAGAATGCATGATCATGGGTGCTCATAAGCTTAGGGCTAAGTATCATTGATTTGTCGCACTTTGTTTGAGAAAGAAAAATTGCCAAAAAAATCAATTTCAGTATTGAAATATTGGCATCATGCGAGATAAACATTTCATGGCTTCCACAATACTGCCCTGCGGCATCCGGAATACCAGGGCCTGGCATCCAGTATACCAACAGAGGGTTGGCAACATGGCATCTTCAATTTAATGATAGAAGTTAACACTAGCCTGCTAGCCTGAGCATGTTTTAGTAATAGTATAGGTATCCTTAAGGCTTGTACGGGGTTAGAAATCAATATTTGTGTTCACTCGTCTGTGGCAAGCATATGCCACAGAGTTACCATCTACCATCTACCATGTCTCTAGTCATTCGTCAATCACCATTCCTAATAAGGGGCGGTCGGGTAGCCTAGTGGTTAAAGCGTTCGCTCGTCACGCCGAAGACCCGGGTTCGATACCCGACATGGGTACAATGTGTGAAGCCCATTTCTGGTGTCCCCCGCCGTGATATTGCTGGAATATTGCTAAAAGCGGCGTAAAAATATCCTCCCCACTCACTGTTCGTAAGAGTCGACTACGCGACTACAAAAATATACTACATATACCAGAGACCATGATTCTTTATTTAAGGCCACGTATAAACACAGCGTTGGGAATTAATGATGATCGCTGGGAACTTGAATTACGCATGAAACATGGTTGGGATTGGTTGCACGAGATTTCAAATCACGACGATAAGGATGCTGAATGCTGCATGCTGCAAGTTGTTACAACTAATCGCACGTGAAAACGCACCTGCTGCCTGGTATTAATTCTGTCTGGTTCATGGTTCAGCCTGCATTTGACTGGGTTTCACCTCAATTGCAGTCTTGTTAAAGTTCTACTCCTACATAAACCAACCGCCTCCGTGGTCTAGTGGTAGAGCGTACGCCCGGAGAGCGGAAGGTCCGGGGTTCGATTCCCCGGCCGCGTCATACCAAAAGACGTTAAAAGATGGTACTTGTTGTTACCCTGTCTGGCGCTCGGCATTAAGAGGCTAAAACAAGGACTGGTCGGCTCGGAGTCAGTATACTGTGTCTGAGTGGGATATTCATGTTAAACTGCGGCATGGTATTTCAGGGAGCTAGCACTATAAATCGGCATCAGTCCGGACTAGTACAGGCAGCCACACAAACACACACACGTACATGCACCTCGCTATATAAATGCAATAATCTTGGACGCTACGTTAAACCCCATTTCACCTCACCTACATAAACCCATCTTCCTGAAGATGCGCAGACACTCAATAGGAAGTTGCTTCAAAGAAAAGTTTGCAATCAGCCAATAAGGATCGAGGCTTATAAATGCAAGTACAAGTGAGCACTCAGAGAAGCATGTCTGATTTGTGTATCTAAAAACGAGTATAATCGGGAAGAACGCGGACGCAAAAAAATAAAGCGGCGCTATTATATTGGATGGGTTATACATCCTGTCATTTCTGAGCGCCACTGTGTCTACACCCGGGAAGGTGTACTATTAAGTGTATATTTATGTTCCGTGGGTGTTTTACTTTGCTAAGATTGAAGTTTACGAATCGACATGGTAAAAAAATCGAGCTGAATGATTTAAGAAAGTTGAGATCTAATAGGCCCATTCTACGTTTAGACTGAGCGGCCAAAGACCGCTCAGGGTTCACCTCTATCCATGGACAAAATCCGATCTTAAAGAGGTTGTTCTAAATCTGTGTTTAACAGCTGAGAAAAGAGATGATCCAGCACGATGTGTTGCGGGAGAAGAAGGCGAAATTGGTCAGGTTCACAGTGAGGAGGATCAACCCCAACTACAGGAAGAGGTCGGTCCAAACTGTTATGCTTCAAATCTGTCTCAATGCAGAAGTTGTGCTACAAATGAATACTTCAGGTTAAGCTCGTTTCAGAAGTTGTGCTAGAACTCTATTACTTCAAATTAAGGTCGCTGCAGAAGTTGTGCTAGAACTCTATTACTTCAAATTAAGCTCGTTGCAGAACACGTGCTATAACTTTAATACTTCAAATTAAGCTCGTTGCAGAAGTTTGCGCTGCAACTGTCGCACGTTAAATTAGGATCGTCATGAACATAATTTAAGTGCGACAGGTGTTCTTAATGAGCTTAATGTAATGTATGACCCATGACAGAATGCAGTAGTAATGTGATCTTTCATGTCTGTTGAGAAGTATACGAAAGCACAATTCACACGAAGTATTGATACATTGTGTAGTCATCACATCTACAGATGTCGAACTATTCCTCTTTCCAGGATGTCGGTGGCGGTGGCGGTGCCAGCCCCGAGTGACGTCAAGGCGGTCCCACTCACGTTGCCAGGTACGTCCCACAGAAATACAAATAAAGTCCCGTGAAGATTCCGGGTCTTCAGCAACCCGTGCTTGTCGCAAGAGGCGACTATCGGGATTGGTTGTCAGGCTCGCTGACTTGGTTGATGCATGTTATCGTATCCCAATTGCTTAGATTGATCCTCATGATGGCAATCACTGGATTGTCCGGTCCAGACTCGATTATTTACAGACCGCCGTCATATAGCTAGAATATTGGTGAGTGCGTTGTTTAACAACAAACAAACAAAGCGATTTTAGTTTACCAGCCCGAAGTCTAGGTGAGATTATGGCATTGTTGTGGACGCTGTCCATCGTCTATCCATCCTTCAGTCCCACCGCAGGCAATCGACTTTTTTCCGAATCGGTCGTGGGACAAGCCGGACACGCTGGAGATCAGAATGGGACTGATTTGTTTTGTTTGTTTGTTGTTTAACGCCATACACAGCAATAGTCCAGCTATATGACGGCGGTCCGTAAATAACCAATCTTGCCAAGACAATCCGGTGATTGACATCACGAACAACGATCCACGCAATTGGGATACGATGACATGCAATCAACCAAGTCACTGAGTTTGATCACCCCATCGATTTTATCGCCTCTTAGGCCAAGGTTGTTGGGGACCTATTTTCTTCCTTACGAGGAGGTGAGGTGAGGTGAAATTGGGTTTAACGTCGCGTCCAAGATTATTGCATTTATATAGCGACGTGCATGTACGTGTATGTGTTTCTGTGGCTGCTTGTACTAGTCCGGACTGATGCCGATTTATAGTGCTAGCTCACTGAGATACCATGCCGCATTTTAACATGGATACCCCACTCAGACACAGTATACTGACTCCGAGCCGACCAGTCCTTGTTTAGCCCCTTAATGCCGAGCGCCAGACAGGGTAACAACAAGTACCATCTTTAAACGTCTTTTGGTATGACGCGGCAGGGGATCGAACCCTGGACCTTCCGCTCTCCGGGCGGACGCTCTACCACTAGACCACGGAGGCGGTCCTTTCTTACGAGGAATCCCCAAGGGAGACAAATGCTTTTAAAGCCTCATTTCAAACATGAACTTCCACTACATATGTTCTCGTGTTTTCAGCGCATGAGGGTCCCCGGCTTGATAAAAGTGGGCGTGTCGTACCGCACAGCATTCTGGGAAGTGTGGAGATGTATATTGCGGAAGCGCAGAGGCGGGGAGTGGCGCACGTGGTGACGTCGAATAAGGTAACCAGTAACGTGTAGACTGTGAACAGTCTCTATTTCAGAACTGAATTAATAAAATATTAATAGAAATCCGAGGTACATTTCTTCTCGTTAATGTTGTCTTCTGACTGAATATATGAAAAAGCAACTCTGAAAATTCTTTTATTGAATTGATGTTGCAAAATAATTGTGCTGTTGTCAATATTCCAGCTATATGACGGCAGTCTGTATATAATCGACCACACAATCCTGACATCATGACCATCAATCCAGGCAATATGGATACGGTGACATGCATCAGCAAGTCAACTTTTAGTCAATCGGACGGAAAAATAAATGACTGAAATATTTTGGTGTAAATTGACGAAGCAAAAATTTCAGTCATTTTGCAGATTGACTGTAACATATAGACATTATTATCACTAGAGCGAGTGAGTGAGTATGGTTTTAAACCGCATTTTGCAATATTTCAACAATATCAAGGCAGGGGCGCTTGAAATGGGCTTCACACAATGTCGGGAATCGAACCCAGGTCTTCGGCGTGACGAGCAAACGCTTTAACCACTAGGCTACCCGACCGCCACTATTATTACTAGAGGTGAAAGAGGTATTTCGTCTTGGGGAAGTAGGAACGGTCGAGTAGTCTCGTGGTTAATGCTTTCTCAAGCCAAGCTGACGTCTCGGGTTCTATTCCCAGCACGGGTACAGTGTGTGAAGCCATTCCCTGCCATTATATTGCAAGACTACTGCTAAAGCAGCGTAAAATCTCATTAACATTTTGGGAGATGGTCTGTCAGATTGTAATGAGTGGGTATGGTTTTACGATGCTTTTAGCAGAAATGGACTTCACACATTGTACCCATGTCGGGAATCGAACCCGAGCCTTCGGCGTGACGAGCGGACGCGTTAACCACTAGGATACCCGACCACCCCTGTCAGATTGTAAACAAATTCCAGATTTTTATGATTTGAAAGTAAAGTTTTAGTTTTCCTTGTTCAGTGATAGTACATCTCCAAGTTTCCTTCTGGTCAAATCCGTAGATTTTTCACACACGGCGCGAACGTCACGGTTGACGCGACTGACGCGGTTGACGCGGTTGTCGCAACTGACGTTGGTCTCCACTGGTCTATGCCTACGATGTTGCATTCGACTTTCTTTCTATAAAATCCCCGTTTCTTAACTTTTATGATGAGACCACGAGGCCAGCTTTGCGTGATTGCATTGCATAATCTTGTTATGTACTTCAGCCGCTTGTCCGGTTCACGTCCGAGGCACCAAAGGTCATCCCTGCCAACAGATACCACCTCATCAAGCCCCGACCTCTTCCGAATGTAGAAGAGGTTCGCGCGCAGCAGTACTGGCGAGACATGCTGGTTGACAGAGAACGCCAGAGGGCAAATATCATTGGTAGGTCCTTCTGTCTCATTAACCAAGGGGCAAGAGTAGCAGTGGTAGTGGTAGTGGTAGTAGTGGTAGTGGTAGTGGTAGTGGTAGTGGTAGTAGTTGTAGTGGTAGTGGTAGTGGTAGTAGTGGTAGTGGTAGTGGTAGTAGTGGTAGTGGTAGTAGTAGTAGTAGTAGTAGTAGTAGTGGTAGTGGCAGTGGTAGTAGTAGTGGTAGTGGTAGTGGAAGTATATCTGTTTTTCCCCCCTAAAATTCAAAACTTAAAGAACTTTATTAAATTTGAGTTTGTCTATTTAACCAGATCACTAATTCCTGTAACAGTTTGTAAAATGTGTCTGTGTCTGGATAATTATCTGTAAATATATACTAGTTCAATGAAGTCTGGGGTAAGAAGTTAATTTGACCCTTACCAATTTGGAAATGTGGAAATAAAATTACCGAATAAATATATTTGTGGATTTTTCTAAACATGATATCAAAGATACACATCAGCAGTACGTTATGCGAATATTTTTTTAATTTTTAAAAGTTTTAAATCAAATTATATTTGTGAAAATGAAACCACGTTAACGTATACTTTGGGTGCGTACTAAGCTCCAGGACAGTTTATGTTTTGAATATGATATCGCTATCTTAAGATATTTTCAATTGAAAATTAAACATATGTAAAAATTCACTGAGAGGTGTATAGTTTCTTTTGCTCACCAGTTTGTTGGCATTATTATTATTATTATTATTGTTATTATTATTATTATTATTATTATTACAACTATTATTATTATTATTATTATTATAACTATTATTATTATTATTATAACTACTACTACTACTACTACTACTATTATTATTGTTATTGTTATTATTATTACAACTATTATTATTATCATTACAACTATTATTATTGTTTTTATTACAACTATTATTATTATTATTATAACTACTACTACTACTACTACTACTACTACTATTATTATTGTTATTGTTATTATTATTATAATTATAATTATTATTATTAATATTATTATTATTACAGCGATCACAGGAAGGGAGCCCTCGGAAGTGATCATGGGAGACTCCAGGACCTGCAGCAAGCGGAGATTGTTGCGATGGGAGGGAACCCTTGATGGCGTACTGGCGACAGGTGAGGGTGGGAGTTTTGTAAAGGCAATGTCAAATCCTTTAAATATATTTTTGTTGGTATAACATAAGACCTTTAGACCTTTTTTGATACTTGTACACACATAAAAGACATAGAATACATAGAAGGGTAGAATAGGTCTTCAGCAACCCATGCTTGCCGTAAAAAGGCGACTATGCTTGTCGTAAGAGGCGACTAACGGGATCGGGTGGCCAGGCTCGCTGACTTGGTTGATGCATGTCATCGTATCCCAATTGCGTGGATCGATGCTCATGATATTAATCACTAGATTGTCTGGTCCAGACTCGATTATTTACAGACCGCCGTCATATAGCTGTAATATTGCTGAGTGCGGGTTAAACATCAAACCAACCAACTAACCAATCTAAACAGTCACGCAGCACAATTCCTGACAAGAACCAGTATGGAGGGCTCCTTATCATCCCTGGATACATCGAAATACCGATGTGTGGAGCTTACGCAGAAAAAATAAATATAGTTGCCTACGTCGTTTCTTTTCTCAACGTTGAAATAGACATACTGTCCAAACGAACGAAGGCGAATTTTTCTATTCACATGACTGTAGTTTCTTTCTTGACATATTAACTAATATACCTATTTGAAAAAATCAGGCGTTCTTTAACTTCTTGACAAAGGGACTTGATAAATGAAAAGATCGGGCGTTCTTTAACTTCTTGACAGAGGGACTTGTTATATAAAAAGATCGGGCGTTCTTTAACTTCTTGACAGAGGGACTTGATATATGAAATGATAGGGCGTTCTTTAACTTCTTGAAAGAGGGACTTGTCATATGAAAAGATCGGGCGTTCTTTAACTTCTTGACAAAGGGACTTGTCATATGAAAAGATCGGGCGTTCTTTAACTTCTTGACAGAGGGACTTGTCAAATGAAAAGATCGGGCGTTCTTTAACTTCTTGACAGAGGGACTTGTCAAATAAAAAAAAGATCGGGCGTTCTTTAACTTCTTGACAGAGGGACTTGTTATATGAAAAGATCGGGCGTTCTTTAACTTCTTGACAGAGGGACTTGATATATGAAAAGATCGGGCGTTCTTAAACTTCTTGACAGAGGGACTTGATATATGAAAAAATCAGGCGTTCTTTAACTTCTTGACAGAGGGACTTGATATATGAAAAGATCGGGCGTTCTTTAACTTCTTGACAGAGGGACTTGTCATATGAAAAGATCGGGCGTTCTTTAACTTCTTGACAGAGGGACTTGTCATATGAAAAAATGAGGCGTTCTTTAACTTCTTGACAGAGTCACTTGTCATATGAAAATATCAGGCGTTCTTTAACTTCTTGACAGAGGGACTTGTCTAATTAAAAGATCGGGCGTTCTTTAACTTCTTGACAGCGGGACTTGTCATATGAAAAGATCGGGCGTTCTTTAACTTCTTGACAGAGGGACTTGTTATATTAAAAGATCGGGCGTTCTTTAACTTCTTGACAAAGGGACTTGTCATATGAAAAGATCGGGCGATCTTTAACTTCTTGACAGAGGGACTTGTCATATGAAAAGATCAGGCGTTCTTTAACTTCTTGACCAAGGGACTTGTCATATGAAAAGATCGGGCGTTCTTTAACTTCTTGACAGAGGGACTTATCATATGAAAAAATCAGGCGTTCTTTTACTTCTTGACAGAGTCACTTGTCATATGAAAAAATGAGGCGTTCTTTAACTTCTTGACAGAGGGACTTGTTATATGAAAAGATCGGGCGTTCTTTAACTTCTTGACAGCGGGACTTGTCAAATTAAAAGATCGGGCCTTCTTTAACTTCTTGACAGAGGGACTTGTCATATGAAAAGATCAGGCGTTCTTTAACTTCTTGACCAAGGGACTTGTCATATGAAAAGATCGGGCGTTCTTTAACTTCTTGACAGAGGGACTTATCATATGAAAAAATCAGGCGTTCTTTTACTTCTTGACAGAGTCACTTGTCATATGAAAAAATGAGGCGTTCTTTAACTTCTTGACAGAGTCACTTGTCATATGAAAAAATCAGGCGTTCTTTAACTTCTTGACAGCGGGACTTGTCAAATTAAAAGATCGGGCGTTCTTTAACTTCTTGACAGCGGGACTTGTCAAATTAAAAGATCGGGCGTTCTTTAACTTCTTGACAAAGGGACTTGTCATATGAAAAGATCGGGCGTTCTTTAACTTCTTGACAGATGGTCTTGTCAAATTAAAAGATCGGGCGTTCTTTAACTTCTTGACAGAGTCACTTGTCATATGAAAAGATCGGGCGTTCTTTAACTTCATGACAGAGGGACTTGTCATATGAAAAGATCGGGCGTTCTTTAACTTCTTGACAGAGGGACTTGTCAAATTAAAAGATCGGGCGTTCTTTAACTTCTTGACAGCGGGACTTGTCATATGAAAAGATCGGGCGTTCTTTAACTTCTTGACAGAGTCACTTGTCATATGAAAAGATCGGGCGTTCTTTAACTTCTTGACAGAGTCACTTGTCATATGAAAAAATGAGGCGTTCTTTAACTTCTTGACAGAGTCACTTGTCATATGAAAATATCAGGCGTTCTTTAACTTCTTGACAGAGGGACTTGTCTAATTAAAAGATCGGGCGTTCTTTAACTTCTTGACAGCGGGACTTGTCATATGAAAAGATCGGGCGTTCTTTAACTTCTTGACAGAGTCACTTGTCATATGAAAAGATCGGGCGTTCTTTAACTTCTTGACAGAGGGACTTGTCATATGAAAAGATCGGGCGTTCTTTAACTTCTTGACAAAGGGACTTGTTATATGAAAAGATCGGGCGTTCTTTAACTTCTTTTAAGTAGTATAAATTGTTTGCAAAGCGCATAAATATGCCTCCTAAAACAATGAAATCTGCTCTAGCTTCTGTCATACACAGCTACAAAGTGAGTGAATGAGTGAGTGTGTTGTGTTCAACGGTGATTTAAACCATCTTCCAGTCATATCACGGCGTGTCAGCGTGGGAGGAAATCTCCAAGTGATGCAGGTCTCAGACGTTTACCACTTTGGTGAATGGTGCTGACAAACCAAGAAACATGATTGTGGCGAACGGGGATTCGAGCCAACGATCATTTTTCTGGCGTGTCCAAGGTTCGCATCTCTACACGGCGAATTGCGGCGCCTTAGACGCCTTGGCCACCCGGGCCACCCTGGCCCCAGCTTCGAGTGTGTTGTTTACTTCAGTGCTGTTTTGAAATGGAAATTCACGCAGTATTATGCCATTGATGAGTCTTGATAAACTTAGAGCAGCATCAGTAATGTCACGTGTTATAACATATATGTAGTATGTTTTAATAACAGTTAGTATAATATATTTTGTGATGGAATATTGTATCAAGCACCAAATCAAACATCGATATTTCACTCGACCCATGAAGATCCGGGTTAGAACAGGTCTTCAGCAACCATGCGTGCCGTAAAGGCGACTGTGGTTGTCGTAAGAGGCGACTGAGGGGATCGGGTGGTCAGGCTCGCTGACTTGGTTGATGCATGTCATCGATCCCAACTGCATGGATCGATGCTCATGATATTATCACTGGATTGTCTGGTCCAAATTCGATTATTTACAGACCGCCGTCATATAACTGGAATATATTTCTGAGTGCGGCGTTAAACAACAAACAAACGAAAACAAATCACTTGAGTGAACTACTTTCTGTCTTCATCAATGGCATTAAGGGACCGACCATTCGATATTCTTGGGCAGGAGTGGGTGGGGATGTTATCGAAAAAAGATATTTGTGCAACGGTACTTTCAAAAAAAATATTTCGGCTCATCGTTTTATTCAAAAAGATATCTGGTTTTGAAGCTAAAGATGAAAACTATCCAGTCTCCATGCAAAATCTCAGCGACAGGCAAGTGACACTTTTGCCTCGCAGGCAGCTCACAAGACGAGATCAGCATGTTATTTGACAAGTAAAGACATCCTCCATGTTGTACTCGATGCCAGTGAACTCATGCAGAGATCTATGGTCTATTTCCAGGAACCAGAGGAACAGGATTCTGGGGGCAGCCGGATGTTCTGGGAGATGAGGATATGGGGCTTTTGTGAGTACAGTATTAATAATATACACTGTGATGACTACTACTACTACTACTACTACTACTACTACTACTACTACTACTAGTTTTGTTCGTCGTTTATCTCCACACTGTCTGATTCCAGCAAAATGACTGTAAATTATCGAGCCTGTATCTGACAATTCAGTGATTGATATTATGAGCAACGATGCCGTCGAGGTACAATTGTGACACGCAGTCATCCAAATCACCGATTTAGACCAACCTATCCATTACGGCTTGTGTCGGGTACTGGGGACCAATTTATAACCTGAAGTAGAGGTGTGCAAGTAGTAGCAGTAGAGGTGGTAGCAGCAGCAGTAGTAATAGTAGTAGTAGTGGTAAAAGTAGTAGTAGTAAAAGTAGTAGTAGTAGTAGTAGTAAAAGTAGTAATAGTAAAAGTAGTAGTAGTAGCAGTAGTAGTAGAGGTGGTAGTGGTAGTAGTAGAGGTAGTAGTGGTAGTAGTAGAGGTAGTAGTAGTAATATTATGAAGTAGTAGTAATAATAATAATAATAATGGTAGTAGTAGTAAAAGTGGTGGTAGTAGTAGCAGTAGTAAAAGTAGTGATGATGGTAGTAGTGGTAGTAGTAGAGGTGGTAGTGGTAGTAGTAGAGGTAGTAGTAAAAGTAGTGGTAGTAGTAGTGGTGGTGGTAATAGTAGTAGCAGCAGAAGTGGTAGTAGTAGTAGAAGTAGTAGTAGTAATATTATGAAGTAGTAGTAATAATCATAATAATAATAATAATAGTAGTAGAAGTAAAAGTAGTGGTAGTAGTAAAAGTAGTGATGATGGTAGTAGTGGTAGTAGTAGTAGTGGTGGTAATTGTAGTAGAAGCAGAAGTGGTAGTAGTAGAAGTAGTAGTAGTAATATTATGAAGTAGTAGTAATAATAATAGTAGTAGTAGAAGTAGTAGTAGTAGTATTAGTAGTAGTATAATTAGGCGCTGATCAAATATTGAAGTATTTCCTCAGTAAACAAAACGTTTCCTTTTGTCGACAGCACAAGCCTCACCCGGTCACAGAGAGGATACAGGCGGGTGACCGACTTCCCGAGTGTGTCGGAAGCTATGCAAAGGGAGAACGGTAATACTGCATTAACGTGGTGTCCGTTCATTGTCTCCATTGCTTCTAGCGTTCGTATGTTTGTTTGTTGTTTAACGCCGCAATATTACAGCTGTATGACGGGAGTCTGTAAATAATCAAGCCTGGACCAGCCAATCCAGTGATTGACATCATGAGAATCGATCCACGCAATTGGGTACGATGACATGCATTAACCAAGTCAGCGAGCCTGACCACCCGATTCCGTTAGTTGCCTCTTACGACAAGCATAGTCGCCTTTTACAAGCATGGGTCGCTGAAGACCTATTCTACCCCGGATCTTCACGGGGAGCCAAGCACGGGTTGCTGAAGACCTATTCTACCCGGGATCTTCACGGGGAGCCAAGCACGGGTTGCTGAAGACCTATTCTACCCCGGATCTTCACGGGGAGCCAAGCACGGGTTGCTGAAGACCTATTCTACCCGGGATCTTCACGGGGAGCCAAGCACGGGTTGCTGAAGACCTATTCTACCCCGGATCTTCACGGGGAGCCAAGCACGGGTCGCTGAAGACTTATTCTACCCCGGATCTTCACGGGGAGCCAAGCACGGGTTGCGGAAGGCCTATTCTACCCCGGATCTTCACGGGGAGACAAGCACGGGTTGCTGAAGACCTATTCTACCCCGGATCTTCACGGGGAGCCAAGCACGGGTTGCTGAAGACCTATTCTACCCCGGATCTTCACGGGGAGCCAAGCACGGGTTGCTGAAGACCTATTCTACCCCGGATCTTCACGGGGAGCCAAGCACGGGTTGCTGAAGACCTATTCTACGGGTGTTGTTTTTAATGATGTGAGCAGGCTGCACTTCGAACAATGAGAAGCAGGGAGACTATACTTTGAAGTTTGAGGAGGAAGAATGAATTGAAAAAAAAAACTGTACTCGGCGAAATAGTAGTACTCGGTTATCAAGAGTATCATCATTTCGTCGTTCCTGTGTTTAAAGTCTCATCTTTACGTCCAGTGGTCGAGCGTGGGCCGGAGAGCAGAAGGTCCGGGGTTCAATTCCCGGCCGCGTCATATCAAAATACGTTAAACGATGTTACTTGTTGTTACCCTGTCTGGCGCTCGGCATTAAGGGGCTGGTCGGCTCGGAATCAGTATACTATGTCTGAGTGGGGTATTCATGTTAAACTGCGGCATGGTGTCTCATTCGGCTGGTACTATAAAATCGCCATTAAATCCCGACTAGTACAAGCACACGAGTCGACCAGTCCTTGTTTTATCCCCTTATTGCCGAGCGCCAGGCAGGGTAACAAGCAGTACCATCTTTCAACGTCTTTTGGTATGACGTGGCCGGGGATCGAGCCCCGGACCTTTCACTCTCCGGATAAACGCTCTATCCACTAGACCACGGAAGCGGTACACGTTTATCTAAGGTTTATTATATAATAATGTTGTTGCAATCCTTGGAACACGAACTCTTATTCCAGGTTGCGTCCCGCCCAAGACCAACAGAATCACGCTCGATCCTATCCCCAATGTCCCAGTGAGTATAGTTTTCCTCGCGTCAGATCTGTCATTAACAACCGGGAGAATGCATTATAAAAAGTAGTTATCAATAATATGTATATATAAAGCATTACCTATCTGAATTATATATTCTGGAGGTTAACACACTGTGTTTTAAATGTAGAGCTAGTTACCTGTAGATTAAACCGCGCTAAATGAAATTTGAAATCGAACGCTCAGTATGTTTATCTGAAGACTAAAGAAAGCGCGAGCTCTTTGGTGCTGGCAAATATATTGAGTGAAAAGAAAAGCTCTCAGCTGTCCCCAAAACTTAAAATTCATTCTCTTTGTTGATTTCTATCGTGTTTTCTCCACAAAAATGTATTGCCTCACTTCCTTTGAATTTTGAGTGAGTGAGTATGGTTTTACGCCGCTTTTAGCACTATCCCAGCAAAATCACGACGGGGACACCAGAAATGGGCTTCACACATTTTACCAGTGTCGGGAATCGAACCCGGGTCTTTGGCGTGACGTGTTAACGCTTTAACCACTAGGCTATCCGACCGCCCCTTTGAATTTTAAAGTAACCGTAACTCTACATTTTGTAACCTATAATTTTTGGTATAATTTTTTAAATACGCCAACTGACAATGACTGAAAAAATGAATGTACTATTCTATGATTATTTGCTTCCGTGGTGATGGGGCCGTCAAACTAGCTGTTAATTGTGGTTTAATAGGCTCTGGTTGACCAATCAGAATCGAGTAATTTCCAAATCCACGTTAGAATAATGTTTAACCATATTCCCGATATTAGGTTAGCATAGTCAGAATCGTGTCGACAATATTATTCAGACGACTGTCTCCTCTGCTGTCATTAAACTACAGTAAACTACGGTTATAACGAACTCAAGGGGACCACTAATTTTAGTTCGTTATAACCGTAGTTCGTTATGAGCATATATACAGCATAACTGCAGCAAATTTTAGGGACAAAAACTAAGCTCGTTATATCCGTCAGTTCGTTATAAGCGTGTTAGGTATAAACGTAGTTTACTGTAGTTATTAGAATACACTGATCACTGAGTGATGTTGGTTGTGCTTGAAAGTTTGAAAACGGAATAAAGTTTACAAGCGTGATGTGTTTAGTGAACACTAGTAAAATAAATCAATGTAGTCTCTCACTACAAGTAGTATTTTCGCTGTCTTTGTTACTTATGGAGTCCTAGAAGGGGCATTGTCGCGTTGTTCTCCTTTACGAAACCATGCGAAAAATAATATATTAACCCCAGCATAACTAATTGTCGCAGTGTCGCGTTTAAATACCATTTCTGTTGTTTTTCCTAATGGCTACAACGCGAAGTTTCTCAACGTTAAATTTGTCGCATTGTCGCCCCATCTAAAATGTGCTAAAACGACGTCAACATGTATGACAACGTGGCAATGTCCCTTATAGTATTCGGGGGAACGGGTGGCCCAGTCGTCTAAGGCGCCGCGATTCGCTGTGCAGAGTTGCGTCCCTTGGGCACGCCAGAAACCTATGCTTGTGGGTTCGAATCCCGGTTCGCCCCGATTATGTTTCTAGGTTTGTCAGCACCATACCCGTGCTCGTGGGTTTCACCGAAGTGGTAAACGTCTGAGACCTGCATCACTTCGGGTTTTCCTCCCACATTAAGCTGACACGCCGCGATATAACTGGAATACTGTTAAAAGCGGCGTTAAACCCAACTCACTCACTCACTCTGTCATACACAGCTACAAAGTGAGTGAACACACCCTTAAAGTATTCCATAGTTACACTAGTAATTAGAATTACTTTTTTTCACATCTTCAGAGGTTTCAGGAGATCTGTACAACAGGTCGTGGATTTCACACCACCACTAAAGTTGAGTGCGGAACACAGACAAGTCATTACAGTCCACCACCTCCACAAGCACCGTGAGTACCACTACATGATTACGCCCGTGAAGGCCCGGGTGCAGTGAGTGAGTGAGTGAGTGAGTGAGTTTGGTTTTACGCCGCGTTTAGCAATATTCCAGCAATATCACGGCGGGGGGCACCAGAAATGGGCTTCACACATTGTACCCATGTCGGGAATCGAACCCGGGTCTTCGGCGTGACGAGCGAATGCTTCAACCACTAGGCAACCCGACCACCCCTAAAATTCAAAGGGGCGGTCGGGTAGCCTAGTGGTTAAAGCATTAACTCGTCACGCCGAAGACCCGGGTTCGAATCCCGACATGGGTACAATGTGTCCCCCGCCGTGATATTGCTGGAATAGTGCTAACGCTAACGAGCTAACGCTTTAACCACTAGTCTACCCGACCTCCCCTGCCCGGGTACAGAATAGGTTAGGTCTAATGAGGTTTTACATCGCGCTGACCCCTGCAGATCCGGGGTAGAACCCATGCTTGCCTTAAAATGCGACTATGCTAGCCGTGAGAGCACTAACTAACATGATCGGATGGTCAGGCTTGCTGACTTGCTTGGTTACGTCTGTAAATAATCGAGTCTCGACCAGACAATCCAGTGATTGAGATCATGATCATCGCTCCATGCAATTGGGATCTCGGTAATTGGGATCGATGACATGCATCAGCCAAGGCAGCGAGCCTGACCACCCGATCCCGTTAGTCGCCTTTTACGACAAGCATTGTCACCTTTTACGACAAGTATAGTCGCCTTAATATACATGTAAATATATGGCATCTCTTTTCAGGATTACGCAAGCGACAGCGAAATCTTTCCCAAGTCTTAGATTTGCCGGCCATAGTGTCACGTGGTGCGATGACGTCATCGAGGGGACTGTTGTGAAGGCTGAAATGGGGTTAGAGTGTTTTGCTGGAGACAGAGATGACTCCACTCTCGAAGTGACCAATACTGGTCAAACAGCTGTCGCTTATGACTGGAAGGTAGACAGAATGAACATAAATTTAGGTTCGATAATACCCTGCCTTTCCCAAGATCCACTGAGTCTTCATTTGTAGGTGAGGTGAAATGGGGTTTAACGTCGCGTCCAAGATTATTGCACTTATATAGCGACGTGCACGCATGCACGCGTGTGTGGCTGCTTGTACTAGTTCGGACTGATGCCGATTTATAGTGAGATACCATGCCACAGTTTAACATGAATACCCCACTCAGACACAGTATACTGACTCCGAGCCGACCACTCCTTGCTTTAGCCCCTTAATGCCGAGCGCCAGACAGGGTAACAACAAGTACCATCTTTTAACGTCTTTTGGTATGACGCGGCCGGGGATCGAACCCCGGACGTTCCGCTCTCCGGGCGGACGCTCTACCACTAGACAACGGAGGCGGTCCTTCATTTGTAAGAAATATAAATATAATATAAATCATGACATTTTCGACACGTTCATTTGAACCCATGCTTCCCGTAAAAGGCGACAATGCTTGTCGTAAGAGGCGACTAACACGATCGGGTGGTCAGGCTCGCTGACTTGGTTTAAGCATGTCATCAATCCCAAATGCGTGGATCAATGCTTATGATGTCAATCATTTGATTGTCTGGTCCGGAGTCGTTTATTTACAGACCGCCGTCATATAGCTGGAATATTGCTGAGTGCGGCGTAAAACAACAAACCACCCAAACCAATCCTAGAATGGTATTTGCATTATCTTTCGAATTATATCAGAGATTGCCAAGGAAAGGTAAAAAAACCGTTTTAACTGCTTGGTACTGGTTTGTTGTTTGATCCAGTCATTGGGAGCACGGATGGGCATTTCTGGTGTCCCCCGCCGTGATATTGCTTAAAGCGACGTAAAACCATACTCACTTACTCCTTTTTACTGATAACACGGATGATGTGTCGTTTATGTTGCAGAGGCTGCCAGGGGAGGACCCCTTCTGTTTAAAGAGGGACGCGGTCCAGAGGTTTTATTTTGATCATAGCTATGGTGAGCTATTCACTTTATTCTTTCCATGTGTTGAATTTGAAACGTGACGTCAAAAAATCTCAGCTGATTTTTATGAAGAAAAAAAATCTCTAAAACTAAAGAAAGACAAAAAAACATGACTCTACCCTCCCCGCCCCTCTTTATATCAAATGGTCCGCCCACGACAAATGTCAAGCAGCTAGGGGATGTTTATCTCGCCCCTCTTTATTCCATCTGTCTCTTCTCTTCCCCCTCTCGCTCTTTCTGTTTTTCTATCACCCCTCTCACTACCCCCCTCCCCCTATCTCTCTTTATATCTAATCTACCCTGCCGCACTTTTTTTCCTCACCTCACCCTCTCTCTCTTTCCCGTGTGTGTGTGTGTCTCTCTCTCTCCTCCTTTCTCTCTCCCCCTCTCTCTGTGTCTGTCTCTGTTTGTGTCTCTCTCTCTCCTCTTTCCCCCTCTCTCTCTCTCCTCTTTCCCCGCTCTCTCTCTCTCTCTCTCTCCTCCCTAGGGCTCTCTGTGTGTCTCTCTCTCCTCCTCTCTCTCTGTGTCTGTCTGTCTGTCTCTCTCTCTCTCCAAGTAACGGTATATCCTCACTTGCAGGTATTATACTGCCGGGCGAGACGAAGCACATAGCTACCTCCTTCAAGAGTCCCGGGCCTGGAGTGTACACGGAGGCGTGGGGGTTCGAGACCACCCCCAGGCTGTGTGGGGGAGGGCGTGTCCTCCTGACTATCTGGGGCATCGCCAGGGACAGGGACGTCAACAGGCACGAGAGACACACCATTGAGGTGAGACTGCTCTTTGGCATCGGGAATCACGACGTCCTGTAAAACACATACAGGTGATGATACGCCATGTGTTCTTACGGAGCTCCAGATCATCTGCATATTTGCAAAAATTCCATTATATTACCTTTCTAATTTTGAGTTGCTTGCTGCACATATGCACGAAAACATACATGCATGAAAACTAACTCGTGAATATCCAGGTAGAGAATAGGACTTCAGCAACCCTTGCTTGACGTAAGAGACGACATGCGTGTTAGAGGCGACTGAGGGGATCGGGTGGTCAGGCTCGTTGACTTGGTTGATGCATGTCATCGTATTCCAATGATATAGATCAATGCATATGACATCAATCCCTGGATTGTCTGGTCCAGACTCGATTACATTCAGATCGCCGTCATCTAGCTGGAATATTGCTGAGAGTAGCGTTATACAACAAACATGTAAACAAAACCCCAACTGATTAAGAACATTGTGTGTTTGTACACGCTTCCTTAAAGCCATCGGGGGAGGTCGGGTAGCCTAGTGGTTAAAGCGTTCGCTCCTCACGCCTAAGACCCGGGTTCGATTCCCGACATGGGTACAATGTGTGAAGCCCATTTCTGAGGTCCCTCGCCGTGATATTGCTGGAATATTGCTAAAAACGGCGTAAAACCACACTCACTCAAATCGCTTTGTGAGACTACGTTACATACACAGAGATGCAAAGATAAAGAGCTCCCGAATTGGCGTGATAAAATATCAAATTCCTCTTTTTAAAATATGTATTGTGGTTTCAAAACTACAATATGTGTTGAAAAGTATATCATAGAGTTATTTTCTTCTCAGGTTTTGGGCGGTCGGGTAGCCTAGTCGTTAAAGCGTTCGCTCGTCACGCCTAAGACCCGGGTTCGATTCCCGACATGGGTACAATGTGTGGAGCCCATTTCTGGTGTCCCCCGCCGTGATATTGCCGGAATATTGCTAAAAGCGGCGTAAAAACCATTCTCACTCTCTTCTCAGGTTTATTTGGAGTACATCTGTGCCCCTCATGGTTAGTTCTCCCTGCAGTTTTATTGTACGATAAGCAACTCCCGCTCGTCGTTTATTTCTTAAATAATGGTTATTCGGGAATACCATTTTAAAATATGAATGACATAAGGAATGAGTTTTCGGCAGATCAAACCTCTCTCTAAAAGTAATTCGGGAAAGCAGCTGGATAATATGAATGACGGGACGCTTTTTCTGTAGATCCAAGATAACTATTATGATTTCATTTCCAGAAACGTCTCTCGCACAACCAGGCAGTATCAGTCTGTCAGCGCATCCTTCACGAGGTCATCAGCTGCATAAATAGTCTGACACCGGAAGAGAGCAATAGGCGCCGGAAGTCCTACACATGGGTGTTTGAGGATGCGCCAAGAGTAAATGATCACTTCGAGGCTTTGAACCCTGGGGTGGGTTGTGTTAAAATTAGACAGACCTATTTAGAGGAAGCCATTGAACGATGCTCTAGGGTTCGATGACCTAAAGAAACACGTGACCTGACTACGTTATTCCTTTAAATAACGCCCAGTTAGGTCATATGTGTTGAAATCCTCAAAACTAAACTGCGGGTCAACAGAAAGAATAACCTGAAAATTGGATTTGACCCCAAACTTAGAAACGTTATCAAAACGTATTTTTTCTGTAAAAAGTCGCCGAAACACTTCAAATCCAAAATACGATAATGATCCCCGATTCACATACATCACCATCTAATGACCATTTCTTGTTTGTGGCGTAGCTTGGTTTGGGTACCTCGTCTGGACGTGTTCCCGTTTGCTATGTTACAATGACCAAGATAGTGGGGGAATTAACTTGGTAGAGCTAATTACTCGGCTATCACCTTAAAACAGAGAGGCTGCTGAGTCCATTAAAGTCTTTATTCGTGGCAGAGTGAAGTTTCAATCTCATTAAAATCAGATCTAAGTTCTCGCTGTCACTAAACAAAGATCTGAGGACATCCCATTACTGGTCACGACAGAACGATCTCTCGCGAACTTTGACCGACCACTGAAACGAATAACAAGAAGTCGATATCAGCCAATGAGAAAGCAGCTTTCTCGAGCTTTACGGCACTCGTTTCAACCTGGCGACTTCCATTTCAGACTACGCTTGAAAAATATATTGACACAGTTCTCGATTAAAATTTTGAAAACTGAACAAACGAACAATCCGGAATGACTCATATGTGGTTGCGATTGTATGGCAGTCCTTCCCACGTACTGTGCAACGCCTCATCCGTTCAAATGTTTATCCCACGGAAGCGAGAGACAGACGATAATTTTGACGGAATCAGTCGTATTGGCCGTAACTGTCATTCGGAATACCCCGTTTTTACGTTTCGAGGTTGCATGATTCGAAAACACATTCCGGCTGTCACTTTCATGATCTGGTAAGCGACGCTTTGATTGGTCGGATGAAAGGTCGTTCTGACGTGACCCGGAATGGGATTTTTCACAGTTCTTTGTTCAGCGATAACGAGAAATAAGATCTGATTTTAATGAGATTGAGTGAAGTTTCTACCTCTGGACCGACCATCAACAGCATGTTACAGCACGGGGCATAACTCTAGCGTGGCAGCCTGCATGAGTAGGATAATCCAGAATCACTGCTTTGTAAGGGTCAGTCACGTGGCCAGCAACTGACTTACACTATCTACAAATATATTTAATTTTCTCTTGATAAAATATTGTTTAACATACACAACATATTATTGAAATATTATTGAGATTACTATGAGATTTGTTTCATTTTTTGCCACCATCAAATAGGTGTATGCTTTCCTTTGTCGGGCAGTTTTTGGTGACTTTGTTAAATTTGGCCTCGTTTTCAGATTAAGCAGCTCTTGGAATTAACACTCGATGAATATCTACATTCTACTCCTAAACGTCCGACATGGTTGTAAAACTCTGTCACTTTTGTTATCTGCCTCTTATCGGTGTTAACTAACGGTATTCTGTCCACTCTCTCCAGTTCCTCTATCACAAGTCGGTGTTAACTAACGGTATTCTGTCCACTCTCTCCAGTTCTTCTATCACAGGTCGGTGTTAACTAACGGTATTCTGTCCACTCTCTCCAGTTCTTCTATCACAGGTCGGTGTTAACTAACGGTATTCTGTCCACTCTCTCCAGTTCTTCTATCACAGGTCGGTGTTAACTAACGGTATTCTGTCCATTCTCTCCAGTTCTTCTATCACAGGTCGGTGTTAACAAACGGTATTCTGTCCACTCTCTCCAGTTCTTCTATCACAGGTCGGTGTTAACTAACGGTATTTTGTCCACTCTCTCCGGTTCCTCTATCACAGGTCGGTGTTAACTAACGGTATTCTGTCCACTCTCTCCAGTTCTTCTATCACAGGTCGGTGTTAACTAACGGTATTCTGCCCACTCTCTCCAGTTCTTCTACCACAGGTCGGTGTTAACTAACGGTATTCTGTCCACTCTCTCCAGTTCCTCTATCACAGGTCGGTGTTAACTAACGGTATTCTGTCCACTCTCTCCAGTTCCTCTATCACAGGTCGGTGTTATCTAACGGTATTCTGTCCATTCTCTCCAGTTCTTCTATCACAGCCATGTTGTAAGGGACCTGCTACTGTTGAACCCTGACTCTGGCCAAGGGGAGTCGGAGTCCGACGTGTCCAGTGATATGGAAACAGTGCACATAGTCTCATTGGCTACACTAAAGAAGGTTGGTATTTTCATCCAATGTTAAATGGTGTGTTGTTTCATACCGCAGTCAGCAATTTTCCTGCTATATCACTACGGCGAGTAAATAATCGAGTTTGGTCCAGTCGACCTTGGTACCGTTAACTTTTTGTTGCCACTTGCTCATCAAGTACTGTGTCCAATCTTTGTTGTTCTTGATACTTTATTAAAAATGTCAACGCGCAGCATTGATCTGACCTGGTTAATGCACCGCGCCAATCTTTGTTATTTGGATATCTTTGCTACTCTGGCATTTTCCTGAGGCAAGAGACCGCCTCCGTGGCCTAGTGGTAGAGCGTCCGCCCGGAGAGCGGAACATCCGGGGTTCAATCCCTGGCCGCGTCATACCAAAAGACGTTAAAAGATGGTACTTGTTGTTACCCTGTCTGGCGCTCGACATTAATGGGCTAAAACAAGGACTGGTCGGCTCGGAGTCAGTATACTGTGTCTGAGTGGGGTATTCATGTTAAACTGCGGCATGGTAGCTCAGTGAGCTAGCACTATAAATCGGCATCAGTCCGGACTAGTACAAGCTTAAGCAGCCACACAAACACACACAGGTACATGCACGTCGCTATATAAGTGCAATAATCTTGGACGCGACGTTAAACCCCATTTCACCTCACCTCACCTGAGGCAAGAGCGTCCACTAGCCTGTTTTTTTATATTAACAAAGTCTTGTTTCCACTCTTGTCGCACCAAGCCCACTTCCCTGTGCTAAATATGATTGGACTATTGGACACGAATATATCTTTTTCACTTTTTCACCTTTTAACACCCCCCCCCCCCCCCCCCCCCCCCCCCCCCCCAACGATTGCCTAGTATGTTTTTGTGTCAGGGATGAATGTCAGGAATGACGAATGTTTTCACTATCTGATCGACCAGGTCTCCGCCTATGGCAGCCGCCATCTTTGCGAAGAACAGCGATCTGATTGGATTAACGCGTTTTCATTATAAGGGGCACAACTCGTGATCTACGTGAGGCGGCTCTTGGGTTGAGCCAAGAAAACCGGGTAGAAACTAGGATGCTCACGATGTCATTCACTGGATTATCTGGTCCAGACTCGGTTATTTACAGACCGCCGTCATATAGCTGTAATAATGCTGAGTGCAGCGTTAAGCAACAAACAAACAAACAAATAATATAGGCAAGTGGACAGACACTCTTGCCTCGGGAAGATGCTATTATGAATGCTTCCTTCAATGTGATCACCCGCAGCATTGATCGGTCTTTGTTTCTGCACCGTGTCCGTCTGTATTATTCTGGATACTTCATTTTAGAGTGATATCCTTCAGCATTCATATGTCCTTGTTCACTCATTGTATGCGTCTTTGTGTTAGACTGACAAACATGAATGTCTGTGTTTTGTACAGAACCTAGAGGACCTCCCAGAAGATAACACAGAGAGGAATGGCCTTCTGAACAGGTTCACCAAGTCGGTCAACAAACTGACATTCTCCGTTCAGAGACCAGTATCTGCAGAGGGATTCTACTTTTGGTAGGCCAATTTCTTTCTTGGAGTGAGTGAGTGAGCTTAATTTTTGAAATTGATAGTTATGACTAAAATCATCAAAATTCATCATGAATTCAAATATTTAAGTATATTTTGTTTAAATTGCCACGCGGGTAAACTTTTACCATGTTTTAAGCCTATTTTCTGACAATTTAGGATAAAGAGGTGTTGAATGTGACTGGCGTAAATGAAAACATACAGTGAATGTCTAAATCCTTCATGATACATCTCGGACAGATTAAATTTCAAATTACACCCGTAAAGATCCGTGGTAGAATAGGTCTTCAGCTACCCATGCTTGCCGTTAAAGGCGACCAACGGGATCGGGTGGTCGGGCTCACTGACTTGGTAGATGCATGTCATCGTACCCCAATTGCATGGATGGATGCTCATGATGTAAATCACTAGATTGTCTGGTCCAGATTCGATTATTTACAGACCGCCGTTATATTGATGGAATATTGCTGGGTGCGGCTTTACAAAACAAACAAAAAAACAAATCATTTGAAATTAACATGAAGCCCTCCGAATTGAGGTCTTCCGAATATTTTCCAATATGTTTCACTTCAGCCGCTGCCTTTGGAGTATGACAATAGATGACATGGTGACGCGCTCCCTCCGACTCAGAGACAAGCTGGGTATATCATCAGAGGAAAACATGCCGGAAGGTACTGACAAAGGATGGCCACTGATCATCCTGTTTCTTCACCTAGACGCCTCCGTGGTCTAGCGGTAGAGCGTCCGCTAAAAGACGTTATACCAAAAGACGTTAAAAGATGGTACTTGTTGTTACCCTGTCTGGCGCGCAGCATAATGGGGCTAAAACAAGGACTGGTCGGCTGGGAGTCAGTATACTGTGTCTGAGTGGGGTATTCATGTTAAACTGCGGCATGGTATCCCAGTGAGCTAGCACTATAAATCGGCATCAGTCCGGACTAGTACAAGCAGCCACACACACACACACGTATATGCACGTCGCTATATAAGTGCAATAATCTTGGACGTGACGTTAAACCCCATTTCACCTCACCTCACCTTCTCCACGTTAACCCCGGGGAATAACAGGGAAGAGTATTTCCCCGCACTAGGTGTTTTTTTCTCCGCGGGGAGATTCGAGTTTGGGACACACGGGTTTAATAGGCCCCAGTGCCTCATGCTCATCTTCCTTTGGGACACACGAGTAGAATAGGCCCCAGTTCCTCATGCCTGTCTCCCTTTGGGACACACGGGTAGAATAGGCCCGATTTCAGGTGTCCCCCGCCGTGATATTGCTGGAATATTGCTAAAAGCGGCGTAAAATCAAATTCACTCACTCACATTATTAATATATCACCAGGTTTGTTTCAATAAAAGTTTATTATACTCTGTGTGAATTAAGCATTACTATTCATCACCATTTTTGTCCTTTTCTGTTACATTTTCAATTTCCTTTTGAAATAAGTTTGTTAAGATGTTATACACTTTTTCTCAGGATATATACTGAACCGCAAAAGAAACGCGAGTACTGTGTGACTGTGAAATACGGTTTATTCACAAAGCGGTTCAGTATATATTTCACCGTATTGTAGATGGCATGTGATGTCTTAGGCTTTTTTTTCGTTGAATCTGTTTGTAGTGATGGTTGGTCGCATCAAGAGCCTAAGCAAACTTATCAAGGGAAAAAGAAAAATCATGGGTCAAGATGCACCAGAGGTGAGATAGCCATCAGTTGACACATCCAGTGTGTTCCTCAGTGAGTTATTCCCCTTAGATGTTAGCCTGGTGAGCTAGTTTGTTTGTTGGTTAACGCCGCAATCAACAGTATTCCAGCTATATGACGGCGGTCTGTAAATAATCGAGTCTGGACCAAACAATCCAGTTGTAGACATCACGAGCATCGATCCACGCTATTGGGATATGATGACGTGCATCAACCAGGTCAGCGAGCCTTACCATCCGATCCCGTTTGTCGCTTCTTACAACAAGCAAAGGCGTCTTAGAGTTATTTCCCTTGTTAGATATATCCCTTTTGAACAGTATCATTAGGATGTATTTGTCCGTGACATGTTCGTCTTGAAGTAATTTCCCTTGTCAGATATTGCCCTTTTGAGCTGTATCCGCAGGAGGTATTTGTCCGTTACATGTTTGTCTTAGAGTTATTTCCCTTTTCAGATATTGCCCTTTTGAGCTGTATCCGCAGGATGTATTTGTCCGTGACATGTTCGTCTTAGAGTTATTTCCCTTGTCAGATATTGCCCTTTTGAGCTGTATCGTAAGAGGTATTTGTCCGTGACACGTTCGTCTTGGAGTAATTTCCCTTGTCAGATATTGCCCTTTTGAGCTGTATCGTTAGGAGGTATTTGTCCGTGACACGTTCGTCTTGGAGTAATTTCCCTTGTCAGATATTGCCCTTTTGAGCTGTATCGTTAGGAGGTATTTGTCCGTGACATGTTCGTCTTAGAGTTATTTCCCTTGTTAGATATTGCCCTTTTGAGCTGTGTCGTTAGGAGATATTTGTTCGTGACATGTTCGTCTTGGAGTAATTTCCCTTGTCAGATATTGCCCTTTTGAGCTGTATCGTCAGGATGTATTTGTCCGTGACATGTTCGTCTTAGAGTTATTTCCCTTGTTAGATATTGCCCTTTTGAGCTGTATCGTCAGGATGTATTTGTCCGTGACATGTTTGTCTTAGAGTTATTTCCCTTGTCAGATATTGCCCTTTTGAGCTGTGTCGTTAGGGGGTATTTGTCCGTGACATGTTCGTCTTAGAGTTATTTCCCTTGTAAGATATTGCCCTTTTGGGCTGTATTGTCAGGAGGTATTTGTCCGTTACATGTTCGTCTTAGAGTTATTTCCCTTGTCAGATATTGCCCTTTTGAGCTGTGTCGTTAGGAGATATTTGTTCGTGACATGTTCGTCTTGGAGTAATTTCCCTTGTCAGATATTGCCCTTTTGAGCTGTATCGTCAGGATGTATTTGTCCGTGACATGTTCGTCTTAGAGCTATTTCCCTTGTCAGATATTTCCCTTTTGAGCTGTATCATTACGGTGTATTTGTACTTGCGATATATTCCTCTAAAGAGTTATTTTCCTTGTGAGATATTCCCCTTTCGAGCTCTTCTGCTGGGGAGTAGTTGCCCCTGTGAGATTTACTCTTTGGGTTTTTTCCCTCATAAGATGTTCCTTTTGAACTAGATCGTTAGGGATTATTCAACTGAAGACATTTTACATATAAACGAGTAAAATGCATGGGACGTACCTGAGAGAAAATGAGAGAATCCAGTATAAAGTGATGCTGATTGTGTTCAATGCGAGACACAATCAAAAACCAACTTATATCAGCGAGCTTCTTGAAGAAAGAGTACGTGCCTGGGAGATCTCTCAGATCAAGCTGCCAGTCCCTACTCTCTGTGCCTAGTCTTAGAACGGCGACTTTTGGAGGTCGGAGTTGGGCCAAAGTTGCCCCTGAACTATGGAATAGGCTGCCATTGAATATCAGGAACATTGACAGTCCTACTTTTTTCGATCAAGACTCAAAACCTATCTTTTCACCAAATCTTTCTTGGAGTATTGAGGCTTTGTGTTTTCCTAGCTGTGTAATGTCTCTTTTTTGTGTAGACTCAAATGAAGCGCTTTTGAGCAGTTCTTCGAACTGGATACTAGCGCTATATAAATCTGTGGTTATTATTATTATTATTATTATTATTATTATTATACCTTTTGTCACTGATGTGTCAAATTTTGAATTGTCGTCCACATGTATAACAGTGTTCAGTTGACACTCCTAATGAAAAAATAAGCAATCCACGCCGTAATATGATGTCATACCGCTCATTATGACGCAGAAAATATGACCTGAAAGTCGACTATAAAAAAAACAAATTTCAAGCTCTCTGTTGTCCCTAAACTTTGAAATACATTCTTTTAGTTGATTGCTATTGTATTATAGTAACCACACCTTTTCTTTTGATATTAGCTTTAGTAGTGATATGCGGCCGTCAAATTGGCGGTTTTAATCAGGGTGGTTTTGTGATTTGATACCTCTAATTAAGTAATTTCCAAATTCAGGTAGAACACTGTCTAAAACGGCGTTCAACCGTACGCTCTCTCCCTCACTTTTATAGGAAAAACCATCAGCCAAAGAAAAGCCAGCAGCCGTGTCTTCACAGAATCGTCGGAAGTCGATCCCAGCCAAATCTGTCACACAACAAACTGCTATCTCAAAGGCCAAAGAACAGGTCCAGCAGGTCCAGCAGGTCAAACAGGTCCAGCAGGTCCAGCAGGTCGAGCAGGTCAAGCAGGTCCAGCAGGTCAAACAGGTCCAGCAGGTCGAGGTGGTCCAGCAGTTCAAACGTCACCGCCGCCGCTACAAGAAATACAGAGAGAAGCTTCATTGTGAGGTAAATTAACTGTTCAAACACGACCATCACCACTTCATGAAATTAACTGGTCAAACACGATCCTCTCCGCTACAAGAAATACAGAGAGAAGCTTCATTGTGAGGCAAATTAACTGGTCAAACACGACGGCCGCCGCTACAAGAAATACAGAGATAAGCTTTATTGTGAGGTAAATTAACTGGTCAAATATGACCCTCTCCACTTAATGAAACACAGAGATAGGCTTCATTGCGAGGTAAATTAATTGGTCAAACATGACCCTCTCCACTTCATGAAACAAAGAGATAGGCTTCATTGCGAGGTAAATTAATTGGTCAAACATGACCCTCTCCACTTCATGAAACACAGTGATATGCTTCATTGCGAGGTAAATTAATTGGTCAAACATGACCCTCTCCACTTCATGAAACACAGAGATAGGCTTCATTGCGAGGTAAGTTAACTGGTCAAACGCGATCCTCTCCACTTCATGAAACACAGAGTTAAGCTTCATTGTGAGGTAAATTACCACCCAATCCCGTTAATCGCCCCTTACGACAAGCATAGTCGCCTTTTACGCCAGCATGGGTTGCTGAAGACCTATTCTACCCCGGAATCTTCACGGGTCGGCAGACAGAGTGATTCGAACTTTGGCATTTATGTTTCTCAAAATGATGACGTCATATTTTTGTTCAAATTATTAGATTTAAGTATTTATGATGAGATATTTTAATATAAACGCCGACAGTAATTATTGGTAAGCGGCTGTCTTTGTTAACATTTTAAACTGCTGGCTACACATACATGTTTGCTACAATGCCGTAAGATTATGTTTTAAAACAAAGATTAAGATATTGCCTTTTGTACCGATAACTTAAAATAGAGCGAGAAAAACCACCTTGCCAGAAACGAGTCTGCCGACCCCCTGATTCGTGTGGTGAGTGAGTGAGTTGGGTTTAACACCGCTTTTAACATTATTCCAGTTATATCACGGCGTGTCAGCTTAATGTGGGAGGAAAGCGCGAAGTGATGCAGGTCTCAGACTTTTACCACTTCGGTGAAACCGACGGGCATGGGTATGGTGCTGACAAACCTAGAAACATAATCGGGGTGAACCAGGATACGAAACCCACAATCATAGGTTTCTGGCGTGACGCAACTCTGCACAGCATCTGGTACGCAGATTCAACATAATCACAAATAATGATACATCTTAAATTTTCCTTTATACATTACATTTTGCGACACATCCCCCCCCCCCCCCAAAGAAATTTAACTTCAAATTGCATCCTTTTCACAATTCAGATTTTGAATTCAATTATATTTCAAATTGATTTAATTTTGACACATGTATGCTTGTTGCAGATGTACGGCCTCCTTGTAAATATGGCTGACCGATTGGGCGGGTACCTGTCCAGTCTGGACGCACCCCGAACCAGCGTCCTCAAGACGTAGGATGGACTCTCCCATTGACCAATACACTTTGGACCTCTGCCGCCATCATTAAGATCATCACTATTCATGCATTAAACAAGTCAGAGCCATAATTATTCCTTTTTCGACATTCATTTTCTCACTGATACTTTCTTAAGCATTAACACTTTTATGGATATTGTCAGAATAGTATTGTTGAATGCATGTATTTCATATTGGTTTCGTTATTAGTGTAAAAGTAAATGGGATATTTACCCTGATGGAAGAACATGTTGATTTTGTGATGTTACAGTGTCAACCATTATGCATATCTTGAACAGTCAATGTGTAAAATGACTGAACTTTTCACATAGGCAATTTATAAAACGCCTAACTATTTAATAAAATAATTCCAAACTTTTTTATGTCGATTTTTATCATCCAGTGACTGAAAAGGGTTAAGATTAAAATGAAACGAAAGTCAATGTATATTTTTCCAAACCTTGTCTCTAATCCTAGCAAAATAAGTCGATTGTGATGATTGAACTTCTTAATAATTGACAGTCAATCAGTTAAATAAATGGACTGATTTTTCAGTTAGTATGTAAATTGAGGACGCCTAAGTTTTTTACACATTTTACACATTGACTGTAACATTTCCATAAGCTTATTTTTTCAAAGTCTTTAACTTAAACCATGTATTTCACATGTAAAATAATATAATGTCATAATTCAAAAGCAATACATTATTAATTTATGCAAATTTGTTGATAATGCTACCAATGTTTTATGTTAACAAGTCAAGTTTCCTTACTGTTATAATATAACTGTTTTTTAAGTCATCAATAAACGTCATCACATAGTGCTGGTCGTTAAGTAATATGTATTGTTTTAACATATAGCGAGTGAGTTGGGTTTAACGCTGCTTTTAACAGTATTCCAGTTATATCACAGCGTGTCAGTTTAATGTGGGAGAAAAGCCCTGGGTGATGCAGGTCTCAGACGTTTACCACTTCGGTGAAACCCACGAGCACGGTTATGGTGCTGACAAACCTAGAAACATAATCGAGGCAAACCGGGATTCGAACCCACAATCATAGGTTTCTGGTGTGCCCAAGGGACGCAACTCTGCACAGCATACTGCGGAGCCATTGACGACAGGGCCGCCTGTGAACCCTTAACAGTGGGTGAGTCACCGTAACGAATTTACTATGCCGAAAAAGTTACACTATTTGGTATCTTTGTCGCACATGTCATGTCAAAATAAGCTTGACACTTACAACAGGTATAAACGACATATGTTTCCGATATACAACGCTTTAATGTAAACATGCCAGTCCACGTGGCAATGTACAGGGCCATGTAAAATCGTGGACAATCAACATGAATAAATGATGTCAAAAAAAATAAAATAAAAAAGATAGGTTGCTAAAGACCTATTCCAACCCGGATCTTCTCACCAGTATCGCGTTCATATTCAAAAGTACTTTGACCCAGGTTACCCCCGTTCTCAAGGCATATGCAGAGTTATGCCCCTTAAGGACGCCAGGAATTTACGATCATGGGTTTGAAACCAAATTTCTCCCTGATTATGCTTCTGCACCTTAACCAAACTCGTGCATTACCGTATTTCCCACAAAAAAATCGGCTTCTCGGTCGACAGAGATTGATACAAGCTTTTGCTGTTTACCATGTTGATGAAAGTAATGGACACGGACGTGGTGCTTGTAGATTACAGTATAGACAATATGTTTCCTTTTCTAAATATTTAACATACATTAAAGCTGGTTACTATTTTCTCATACCTTTGTGTAAATAATACTAAATTCACGTTGTCCTTGTCAGATTTAAAACCCCAGCAGAAATGACCAGAACTGGTTGTAGATAACAACCCCCTTGTTAACTGTTTGGAGCTTTTAGGACCTCTCCTGTGGATAGTTTGTATGTGGAAGCTACTGAACCTTCCCTCAAACTTCGCCGCATTAAACTATCCCTGCAATACATATCAATCAGTCAAACCAAGCATACAATAGTGTTTTAAACCCTCTGACTGAAAAGGTGTTTTATTTTTTTTCAAACCTGGTTCCCCAACTTGGAATCAGAATTCAGCCATACATTGCTGCTGCTAAAATAGATCTAAATATTATATCACTTTACCAACTTCTGTCTTCTCCTGCCAGGCAGATGGCATAGCCAGAGGTAGACCTCACTCTAACCCTGCTAAAAATTGCAAAACAAATCCTTTGGTATATCAACAAGAATATAACCAATTATGAACAAAACATAATACTCACAGATCCAGTTCTACAGACGGGTCCAAGGATGGTGGCAAAGTTGCAAGTGCTACTCATCATTGGATTCAAAAATGTTTCATCAAGAATCCCCGATAATAGTTCAAACTTCACGACTGAGGCCAAAGCTATCTTAACAGCTTTGACCTACATTAAAAAAACAAATAACAAAATGAATGTAATATTTTCATAATATTTTCAGAATCCATGTCTTGTCTTCAGGCACTTAAAAGTGTCTCCTCAAATCATCCGTTTATTATTATTCTGAAATAATAGTTTTAGAACCATATAATGATCTTTCTACTAGCCAATGTGACGTCTTACCACGTCATGTAGGCTTAACAGGTAACTCAAAGGCCCATGCTGCAGCTAAAGCAGCTCTTGACAAACCATTGTCTCCACTCCTTATACCGTACAGCGACTTCAAACCGACCATCAAGATTTATACTCGGGATCTCACGCAAAAGAGGTGGGACACCCAGGTAGCAATAAACTTCACGAATTAAAACTAACAATCAGTCATACCTACTTGGGTTGTCAGTTAAGACATGACGAGGTCGTTTCACGACGATGTCGTATTGACCACAGTCGGTTTACCCACGAATATCTGTTTAAAACAGATGAGGGCGAACCTCCTAAGTGAATCCCTTGTGATGAAAGGTTCACCGTCAAACATATTTTGCTTGACTTTCTAGACTTTGCAATTGCAAGGGATTTATATTACCAAACTGAAAATCAGAAGGCTCTTTCTTCCCATATGAGCGGTATCTGATTCTTAGCTACTGGAAAGAAATTGGTTTGTATTATAAAATTTAAATACTGGACATATACATGTTCGTGAACAGATTTTATTTTAGCAACAAAGATTATTGAAGGCCCAGGGGGTTAAAGTACTGTAAAATGATTGTCACGTATTTTTCATCATCATCAACCAGTGTTTTAAGCCAACTCATTGCTGAGCATCTTTTAATATTGGCTGGTATTGTGCACAGCCACCAGTGGCTAAATGACGTAAATCCTGCTGGGGTGTCGTGCAGAAAGCTGAGGTACTGTAAGCCTCCATGATCCCCAGCGAGGTGACCACGCTTTGGTTATTGATGGTCCGTACCCGTGTTTAAACAGTTCTTAATAATACTGTTGTGATAAAATGTGTTTGAGAAATTTGTTTTTAAATATAACTTTGTATTCAGGACTCAACTGTGTATAAATCAACATGTTCTCGTTGCCATTATATAATGAGATGTTAAATTTTAACTCACTCACTCACGCAGACGAACGGGCGAATCTGGAATTAAAACCTGCAAATAGCGGATCCTGTCTCAGTCAATATAGGCAACTCTACACAGCCGACTGCCCTAGCATAGACCACTTGGCTACCCGTGCCCCTAGATTCCGGGGTAGAATAGGTCTTCAGCAACCCATGCTTGCCGTAAAAGATGACTATGCTTGTCGTAAAAGGCGACTAACGGGATCGGGTGGTCAGGCTCGCTGACTTGGTTGATACATGTCATCGATCCCAATTGCGTGGATCAATGCTCATGATATCAATCACTGGATTGTCTGGTCCAGACTCGATTATTTACAGACCGCCGTAATATAGCTGGAATATTGCTGAGTGTGGCGTTAAACAACAAACCAACCAACCAACACTAGGATGGTGGTTAACTAGGGACCACAATTGCAACCAGCATACATTTAAATGAATATTTGTGGCATTTGTTTTCACCATCTGTTACTGTTACAAAACCCCGCCTGGAACACAGCTGCAATGGTGCCTTTTCGCCCACGTGTGCAGGACTAACTGTATTTAAAACCACCTGTGGGCCTCCGACATCTTCAACCCACTGTGAGCAAGACGGTGTCACAATGAAGGCTCTCGTAATCCTGTGTTTTCTCCTGCTGCATGGTGAGTAAATATCGATAGGATAAAATATATAATATATAATTGCATGAAAGAGGGATATGAACTATATATTGTTTTACAAGTATTTCAGTTTCTAATACAGAAAGGAATGTTAAATTATATAGGTATCAGTTGGTTGGTTTGTTGTTTAACGCCGCACTCAGCAATATTCCAGCTTTATGACAGCGGTCTGAAAATAATCGAGTCTGGACCAGACAATCCAGTTATTGATATCATGAGCATCGATCCACGCAATTGGGATCGATGACATGCATCAACCAAGTCAGCGAGCCTGACCACCCGATCCCGTTAGTTGCCTTTTACGGCAAGCATGGGTTGCTGAAGACCTATTCTACCCCGGAATCTTCACGGGTCTTATATATGTAGGTATCAGAGCGTGGGCTGTTTGATGCTGTGGCACGCCATCGTTATAGGCACATATGTTTCATGGTGAAATAAATCTTGAAAGGTTTCAGGGCACTCTGCATCCGGAAAAAGCCACGCATGTGTTATGTGCCAGTCCTGAAGTAAAAGTAAAATATTTGGTATGGCTTGACCAGTTAACCAAAGCTACCAACCGAATCCAAGTAATTCACTTAAAATACGACGAACGCTTTTCTCCCAAAGCGATCATATTTGTACCAAGATTTCGCTTACTAGCTAAACAATGATCTCTTACAAGTGCCTGGATCCTTTGATAATTCGATATCTCACATCCATTCGTGGCCTAGTCGGCTAGGGCGCTGCAATTTGCTGTGCAGAGTTTCGTCCCTTGGGCCAGAAACCTATGATTGTGGGTTCGAATCCCGCTTCGCCCCGATTATGTTTCTAGGTTTGTCAGCACCATACCCTTGCTTGTGGGTTTCACCAAAGTGCTAAACGTTTGAGACCTGCATCACTTCGGGCTTTCCTCCCACATTAAGCTGACGCGCCGTGATATAACTGGAATACTGTTAAAAGCGGCGTTAAATCTCTCTCTCTCTCTCTCTCTCCACAGGGTGGGAGGATTAATTTAATATTGGTGTCCAGTAGTTTAAAGCTGATTTAAAGCAGCATTTTACCATATGTCCACATGAGCTTAAAAATTAAAGAAGCCTAGATCTGTCATCCGAGTTAAGGGCCTTCTTGACATCTACAACGACTACATGACATCGGCCTTCCCGCTCACTTATAAATATTTTTATATACACGTTTCTAGAGTATACAAATTACCATAACATATCTAGACAGAACCATAGCTTACTATGTTTTCCATTGCTTTCTATCCAGGCGGATAGGTTAGATAAATGACAGACGTAAACTGTTGCTTCTATTGTCACTCCATTGCAATCAGTATTGTTCTTCATAAAGCTTTCCTTTGTTTTCTACCCAAATATTATGAGAAACCTAAGCGATAACTCGCAAAAGAGCAACGAAGGACGAAGCGTGGTTTATTCATCATGACGTCATTTCCTGGAGATTCGAATATGCGCTCGCAATTCCATGACGTCATATATTGGACGACGTTATTTGTGAGAGGGAAGTGTCCAATGAGTTCATCGCCATAGATTTAGCTGGTGTAGGCAGATAAATGCAGTGGCTGAACGATCGCATCCAAAAGTGGGAGATCGAGAGATATGACAAACCGAGAAGTTTCAATTTTAAAAAAAAATCAATGATCAAAAGACTTT